GTTTGCCTTGTGTTTTATGAGGCACCAGGCACTCTCCTCAGCAGGTCCTGCCTGTCATTAGCTGTCTTCGCCTTCACAACACTTAGCAAGGTGGCCACTAGCGTACAGTTGAGGAAACAGGCTCGGAGATGCTGTATTTAACTTGCCCAGGGTTGCAGAGCTGGGAACAAGATGGAGGGCTACTTGTTTCTCAGACCTCCCACAGCATCTGTGCTGGGTGAGGGGAGAGACTGAAGGGTAGTAGTATGCCCAGGAGGAGCGGAACCTGCTTCCTGAGGGAATATTGCTATTGAACTTGGGGGTCACAGCCTTCGCCCTAGGCCAGGTTCAGACACCCATCTTCAATAAGACAATTAAAAGAGCCAAATGAATAGTGGAGACCAGAACAAGATTTGTTTAATGTGGCCTCGACGGGAAGAGGTGCAGACCCATTTTCTGGGTACTGAAGTGAGGTAAGTTGACAGAGAGGGCCAAGGATTTGCATCTTTAGGCAGTCCTGGGGTGGCCCCTCCACACTGACCCATAGCTGCCTGACCTCCCTTCTGTAAGCAGCTCTGGCAAGACGTTAGAGTTGAAATCCCCCGGTTGAGCCTTCTTCCTCCTAGCATGCGATTCCTGGGGAAGTCCCCATTTCTCTGGGGTCTGTGGTTTCAACAGTCTGAGAGTCAGATTATAAGACACAAGTGTCTCTTTAGAACATCTTCATTTCGTGAGTTTGAGGCCAGCCTGTTCTACAGAGCTAGTTCCAGGACAGCTAAGGGTGTTACACAAAGAAACTGTCTTGAAAAAACAAAAAAAAAAAAAACACCACACTTCATTTCTGCCAGGCCAAGTGCAACATTCTTCCTTCCCTGCAGGTCCCCAGACAAGAGTGGGGTCACGGAGTCTCCTTGGTAGGGAAGAGGACTCGAGTGCTCCCGTGAAACATGGAGAGGGACAGGCCAGCCTCTGGTAATAGGAAGTGTCACGATAAGGAGCGGGTGGGGCTTGGCAAGAACCTCCAGGAATCAATGAGAGTGTGGAACCAGGGACATTGAGGGACGGGCGGGATCAGAGTAGTGCTACTAAGTCATCAAGCCTCCTTCCCCACCTCACAGGCCCTGGGAAGGCCAGCATCCTCTGTGGCCTTTTGGTCCCAGCACTGCTGGCCACCTGTTCCCCACTGCAGGGCGCCCATGCGGCGTCCCACTTCCCTGTGCCCTTGACTGCCGCTGGGATCTACTGTACCTGGCACCTCTCTCGGCCCGCCTCCTTGGCTAGGCTCTTAAGTAGCTTATCAGCGCACCAGGCTCCGCCCGAGCCGGGAAGTTTTTGCACCCCAGAAGCTCCCCAAGTCCTAGAGCCCCTTCAGGACACAGGCCCCACTCTCCTGCTGCAGTCTGCTGCCCCTCCCCTCTGCAGACTGAGCTCCAGGCTGTAGCAGCAGCGCATTCCTGGAATGAGAATCTCTCTAGACTCAAACACCATGCTCAGAGACAGACCCATTCCCAAGCCCTGGCCTGGCTAATGCCTGCTCAGCTCCAGCACCTCTTCCTCCAGGAAGCCTCCCCTGATCTCCCCGTCTGGGTCTGTGCTGATTGTGGCTTCTTGGAAGAGCTGCCTGCCTCCAACTTCCCAACCTCCTCCATAGGCCAAGGCAGCCCCAGGATGGGGGGCTGGTTTCTCGGGCCTCATCCAGAAGCTGCACCCAAGTCGGGGAGGAGCTACTAAGGCACAGATTAGATGGAAGATCCACTTCGTGTCGATCTTGGGATGGAGGTTTCCCAGCTGAGTTTCTGAGAACAGACTGGATGTTGAAAAGCCAAGGACAAGTGGCCAAGATCAGCACAAACACAGAGGAGCTGAGGGCAGACCCCAAAGAGGACCCTACAGAGGATCCCATCTCAGGAACAGGAGGCTGGGAAGAGAGCTGGCCTGAAGAGCCACCTCTGCTGTCCAGGCCCTGCTACTACCCTTGCGCCTGGGCTGGCCCTGATTTGTTTTTGACAACAAGAAGTGACGCCATAGCATTTCCAAATGCTGCTCATGTGCAGCATGGATTCCACAGCCCTTTCTAAAGGAGTCAGCCATCCGCTGTCCTGAGACCACTGTGCATCCAGGAAGGAGAGGGAGAGCCACAGCGAAGCAGGCATCCCGCTAAGATGGAGCACCTAGAAGGGAGAGGCTATGACGGACACCCACGGGGAACCTCGTGGCTTGCACTCTGACCACCTGATGTAGCTGAGGAAGGACACAAGAGACTGGCCCAGGCCTCCCGTAAGTCCCGGAGAGTGATCAGAACATTGCCATTCTCAGCTGTCAAGTTACAAAGGCACAGATACCTGACGGTTAGTAGTTTAACACCCACACCCTCCTGGGATGAGCATCATTGCCCCATTTAACATTCTTAGGTGAAGAAACTAAGGCCAGAAGCCGAGATGACTTCGGGAGGCAGTAGTGAAGTATGAGTCAGTGAGGCTGGTCCAGGTTGTTTCTAGAACAATGGCTTCATGCCTGAGGTCATAACCAAACTGAACAGCCAGACGTCTGTGCTTCAGGCCAAATGTCCAGTGACAGAGAGGGCTGAGCTCTTCTCCCACGTGGCCTAGCTAGCCTGATACCTGCTGGAAACCTAGTTTGTTCCTTTAAAAGCCAGTTTACTGGGCTGGAGACATTGCTCAGAGCATCGGCTGCTCTCCCTAGGTTTGACTGCCAGCATCCGCACGGCAGCAAACCACTGTCTGTTACTCCAGTTCCAGAGGATGCGATTCCTTCTGTGAGGACCAGGTACTGCGTGGTGCACAGACATAAATGCAGGCAAAACATGCATACACGTAAAATTAAAAAAATATTTTTAAAAAGCTTACCAACTAAGATTTGTATATCATAAGACGCACAGACCTAAGTGTGCAGTGTGGTATCTCTTACATGGGTATAAGCCCTGTTACCACTACTAGACCGAGTCAGAACACACCTGCCACCCCACAGAACCCTGTGCCTACTGCTGGGAAGAAGTATCTCTTCTTCCCCCATTCAGGGCCCCACTGTTTTGCTACTTTTGAACTTCATGTGATCTTCACGGCTTCTGCTTAACCATTAAGTCTGGAAGATTCACCCATGTTTTTTGTATGTAGCAGTTATGGTTTCTTGCCACACTATATCATCATGTACAAATAGACCACAATTGTTCTTTTGAGGGGATGGGAAATTGGGTCACATGTAGTCCAGGTTGTCCTGGAGCTTGCAATATAGCTGAGGGTGACTTTGAATTTCTGATCTTCCTGCCTCCATAACCCAAATGCCGGTATTAATAGGTGTGTACCACCACCACCCCAGCTTACACAGAGCTATGGACTGAACCCAGGGCTTCACCTTGCTGGGATGGCACTCTACCAACTAAGCCACATTCCCAGCCATTTACGCTACCATGGAGGGGCAGCTGAGGTTTGAACGACCTTGAACGCCACTGTCTAGTGGTGCAGGGGGTGGCCCTTGATGCTCCTAGTGCCTATATAGGGAGGGAAGCACTGAATCGGAGGGGAGAAGAAAGTTTATCCCAGGAAGAAACTGCCCCAAAGCTGCCATGGTGTGCCAAGTATGCTCCTGATAGCAGAGCGTGACAATCCTTGGTGTCCCAGTCTTGGCCACCTGACACTTGGTACTGTTGGGTCTTTTGAGCTATTCTAGAGCTGGGGAGTGAAGACTTTGTTTGCCACGACTACTGTGGAGTGCCTGGTAACTTGTGACCCTAACCACAGGAGCAAGAGCTTTCAAGGAAGACGGTGAGGGATGATGAGAGAGTGGGCTTGGGCTCTCAACCCTGTGTGTGGATGCCGGAGCTGCCAGCCACAGACGGCCATCATCTCTAGGAAACCCTGGGAGAATAGGGATAAAGGAAGCCGGTGCAGAATCACACCTCACAGGCCTCCCTTGCATCTCATCAGTGGAACTGCCTGCCATCCGTGGATTCTGAACCAATCACAGGGAAGGATAGAGACAGACACAGAGATACTCTAACAATGGTTCTCAACCTTCCTAATGCTGTGACCCTTTACTACAGTTCAGTTCCTTACGTTGTGGTGACCCCCAACCATAAAGTTATTTTTATTGCTACTGTTATGAATCATAATGTAAATATTCAATATGCAGGATGTTTAATGTGCAACCCCTGTCGAGGGTTGTTTGACAAACTCCACCCAGAAGGTTGTGACCCACAGGTTGAGAATCATCGCTCTATGAGGGTCCCTGGGGGCTGTGTCCTTTCCAAAACACACCAGGGATGTTCAAAGAGCAATTCTTCCTGCTGACGGCTCTGCTTGGAATACCCTTCTTGAATTTTTCATTTGGGAAAACTGATCCTGAAGCTGTTCTTGAACCAGCATTAGGTCAAGCCAGTGTCTCCTGTGGGATCCCAGGCTCCTGGGACTCAATCCAATGTGGTTTCTGGATCTTGGTGACCGTGGGTACAGACTACCATGAGGGTCACATTCACTGTTCCCACACCACCTCTGTCCAGGGCTGGGGAACCTCTGGGTAGAACCCCCAGCCCAGTGTAGGGAATGATAGAAAACACCCATTTTCTGGAGCAGCAAACTGAGCCTCGGAAGAGGATGTTACGGTGTGTGGGTCAGCACAGTCTCGGCACCTGCCCTCTTTTTGCAACTCCACAGATTCTCAAATAATGAGTTGATAAGTAAGCCTGAAATGAGCCATTGGTGATCCACCAGCGAGCCTGAAATGAGCCATTGATGATCCACCAGCGAGCCTGAAATGAGCAGTTGGTGATCCACCAGCAAGCCAGGCTAGAGAGCAACTTCTGTTGTTGTCAGAGTAGAGACTGGTCCCCCTACCACTACTGGCTTAGTGCCCCTCAAACCACTCAAATGTCCAAGGCCCAGGGGATGAACTGGACTCAGCTCCATCCTCAGAAACCCACAGACCCCTGCTTCAGGTAAGGTGGAATACAGAAGCCATTCAGAACCTGGTTGTTACTTCCTACCCTGCCCAGCCATCCACAAAGCCAGAGTTGCTGGAAGGTTTTATTAAGTTAGGGTGACTCATGGAACAGGAGAGATACGTCTTCATGGGTAGCGCTAGTAGGCCACACCCAGCGCCCCTCAGAGGAGTGGAGCTATGGAGACAGCTACAGGCTCCTCTCTCTGTCCACTCGTTCCCCAGTCCAGAGGCCATGGTGTGGACCTGGCCAGGGCAGAAGTAGTTAGCAGAGGTAGGGCAGGAAGAGAGGGCTGCTCCCAGTCTTTTCCCTCTGGGCAACTCACCCTGGCCCTGCTTGGGCCTTTGCAAGATGCCCAGGGTAGGAAGGAGGCCCAAGCAGGGGACTAGAAGGGACAGGAGCCAGTGCTAGAGGCACACGCCACCAAGAGATATGCCTTTTAAAAAAGTTTAAAGTGTTTTAGAAAAAAAAAAAGGCAAAGTTCTATATAAAAATCTCTTCACATATAAAATCCTGAAGAAGGTGCAAGGTAAGACCCAGTGCGAGGGACGAGCTCAGATCCGCAGTGTGTGTGTGTACATGTATGTGTGTGCATGTGTGTGTGTGTGTGTGTGTGTGTGTGTGTGGCAGGTGTGAGTGCACATGTGACTCAGGGTGGGGACAAAGCTTGGCTTCTGACTTCTGTAGAGGAGGAGGGTGGCTGGTCCCCTGGGGCCAGAGGGTTCTCAGTTGAGCTGAACCACAGGGACCTGGAAGGCAAGAGCGATTCCTGAGCACTGGGAAGGCGGGCCTCACTCAGGCTCTAGCCTGCCAGCGTGGGCCAAACCGAAGTACAGGCAAAACTGCCCATGGTTGCTGGCCCTGAAGCTGCTCTGCACATGGCTTGGGGTGGCCTGACTGATGAAGAGGCAGACAGGCCATGTCATGTCACATCATATCACACATCATATATAATATCATATCTTATAATATCTATCACATGGTAGCATTTCAAGCCCCCTAGAGGAGGGCATCTCTAGGGCTCTATGGTCAGCGCTGGCTGTAGTGCGGAGCTCGGAATGCACCCAGGGTCCCCACTAGCCCATGGAAAGGCAGACTGAGGGCGGTGAACATGACAGTGGCTAAGATGCAGGGCTGTGGGGTCCTGACCCAGCCATGTGTCATCACCTGGGGACGAACATGCACAGGTTGACATAACAGACTCTGAACTGTCGTAGGGCCACAACGACCCTTTGTAGCCAGTACCACAATGTGCCACTTTCAGCATTTCCTTTCCCTGGCCCGTTAAGCTGCATGTAAGTGACCATGCATTTGCACTGCAGGTTCCTACCCACCTCTACTCAGCCAAGCTGTTTCTCACAGCCTCCTTCTCCTGCAGGGCAGCCATGGCCAGGCGCAGGTGCTCCTTCAGCTGCTCGATCTCGCGCTCCGAGCGTGTCTTGATGTGGTTCAGCTCCACGTACACATCCTGGTACTTCCCCGTGAAGCGCTTGTCCTAGGGCCACCAAGCAAGCACTGAGGGCTGGAGCTGCAGGTCCTGAGCCCTGCTACACACCCACCTTGCCCCCTGCTGGTAGCACAGAAGGCCAGGTTCCCCCAGTGATGGAGACTTCATTGTCCTTCCTTGTCCCATTAGAGGAGTAGCAGTTAGGGCCCTGAGAGGTGTAGCCTTTGCCCACGGTCACAATGAGTGGCAGGATGAGCCCTAGAAGGGCGTGGCCAGGGGTTTTCATCTTTCAATGACTTGTCTCTGCTGATTCTCCAAGCACAGCCAGGGTACTGCTGGCTCATACATACATCCATGACTCGATGAGGGCAGGAATGAGCCAATGGCTGTACAGAACTGCATGGGCATCCCAATTTCTAGCAACACTTGGAGTGAACCCACAGGCAGGCTGGGGTAGTGACCTGTTCTGTTTATTCCTGGCACCCAGCAGGTGTTCAATAATAATAAAGTCAAACAACCCTGAATGCCCAAAAGCGTGTGACCTTGGGTGAGTCACACCCTTCTCCCTTCTCCAGCTAGTCTGTAATGGGATGGTGAGACCTATGTGGTAGGCCCAAGGGGAGGATAAGGCCCAGAGTGGACGGTGCAGGCAGGCACCTGGAGCACCCCCAGCCCCCACTCCCGCTGCTGCCTACCTTGTGCATCACCTGGAGCTCATCCCGGAGACACTGCACCTCCTTTTTCAGGTACTGGAGTTCATTCTCCTTGACTCGCAGTAGCACCTAGGGACACATGTGCCAGGTTGAGCCAGGGCCCTCGGCCAAGGCGACCAGATCCACACTGCCCTGCAGCCTGGCACCTCGGTGACTCAAAGTTCCCTGTGCAGCCTGCACCCTCACTGAGAGCCCCTGCATCCTACAGCCTACTGCCCCAGGAGGTCCTGTGCCTCTGCTGTCCTTTTCCTCACTCTTAACCCATGTATATTGTGAGTGGGACTCTCCCTGCAACTCAGTGGCAGCTGGACACAGTGCTGGGCTTGGGTGCTAGGGTCGAGGGGGTGGACAGGAGACTGTGTTGTGGTCTAACTACGAACTGTAGCCATATGTCTACTGCAGGAGCACCCCCACTGAACTCTGAGGGGCCGTGCTATTGACATGTGGGGTACATAAGCTCAGCGGGGCAGGAAAGCCTTAAACATCAGACTGGTGATCTACGCCTGGCTCCAAACCCAGCTTTCACACCAATAGCCGTGTGACCTTCAGGAAGGTCATTAACTCCTGTTCCTCCATCGATTTAATGCAGACAGTAACAGGGCTTGACTAATGAGCTTGACAGAAGGGAACACTCAAAGGGCTTAGACCTTTTAGGCACAGAGACAAACCTCATAGCATCGGCTCTCAACCTGTGGGTCACGACCCCTTTGAGGGTTGAATGACCCTGTCACAGGGGCCGCCTAAAACTGTCCTACATAGCAGATATTTTCATTACAATTCCTAACAGTAGCAAAATTATAGTTATGAAGTAGCAACGAAAATAATTTTATGGTTGGGGGTCCCCACAACATTAGGTACTGTTCTGGGTTTTGTTTCATTTTTTTTTTCAAGACATTGTTTCTCTGACTGCCCTGGAACTCAATTAACCACCAAGCCCAGCATGAGGAGCTGTGTTAAAGGGTCGCAGCAGTAGGAAGGCTGGGAACCACTGCCTTACATGTTTGCTAAGAAATGAAACAAAAAGCTGGGTGATCCTGGAATCCCTCACTTTTTCCTTTCAACTCCCCCTGTAAGCAGAGTGCTGCCCTTGCCCCTTAGATTTTTTTTTAATTTTCTAATTTATTTTTGGTCTTTTTTTTTTTTTTTTTAAAGATTTATTTATTATATATTTAGCATTCCTTCCATGTAAACCTGCAGGCCAGAAGGGGGCACCAGATCTCATTATATATGGCTGTGAGCCACCATGTGGTTGCTGGGAATTGAACTCAGGACCTCTGGAAGAGCAGTCAGTGCTCTTAACCATTGAGCCATCTCTCCAGCCCTATTTTTGGTCTTTTGAGACAGAGTTTCTCTGTGTATCCCTGGCTGTCCTGAAATTATCTTTGTAGACCATGCTGGCCTTGAACTCACAGAGACCTGCCTGTCTCTGCTCCTGGAGTCCTGGGATTACAGATATGCACCACTATGCCCAACATGTTAACTGTTTTATACTTAAGTCACTGGGACTCACAAAAGCAGGGTGAGGATGGTCACATAGCAGGTAGATGACAGGATCAGATCAGAGTCTAAAATTCTGACTTAGCCTGGAAGACCCAGGAATTTGGGTGATATCTGCAGGTGACACCCAGCCTGCTAGGGAGCTTCCACACAGATCCCAGAGGCAGGGTTGCCTGGCACAAGGCAAAAGAGGGGAGGGGAGAGGAGGACGTCTACCTCCAGCTCACAGGAGCTCCTTGCATTGCTGCGCCCGCAGCTGTTGCCCGTGCCCTGTGAGGCGATGAAGCTGCGCAGACGGTCGATCTCCTCCGACAGGTGGGCGTGTAGCTCCTGAGAGAACAGGATGGTCAGGGTGGGGATACCAGCCCCCTACTGCCTCCTCACAGCCTCCCGGGGGCCAGCCTACCTGGTTGTGGCGCAGCAGCTCCTGGCCCTCTTGCTGGCAGCGCCTCAGGGTGTGCTCGCGCTCCTCCGCCTGCTGTGTCAGGGCCCCGATCTCCAGGCACTTCTGGGAGTACCTCTCAGACAGCACCTGCAGCTCCTGCTTCAGTGCCTCCATGTCCAACCTAGCCAGCACAGGATGGGACAGAGATGGACCTTGCGGGCTCTCTTGCCGCTGCTTGGCCTGGAGTCATGTCTCAGCATTGTTGGTTCTAGGTACCTTGTGGTTTTGAACTCAGCCCACTGAGGCTGTGGGCTAGTAACATATCCTCCTCTCTCTGTGAGAGGGTGAGTTCAGGGACTACCTCTCACACCACCATAGCCCAGGCACCTGGACTGTGCTGAGGCAAGGAGGCACCCTAGCGGCCAAGGGCAACACTGCAACCCAGCTCCAGGAGACACACTAAAGGGGCACAGAGGCCAGGACCCTCTGCCCAGGGCCCTGAGCAAATCCCCAGACACATTTATCAGGGTGAGTGGTGCTCCTGGCGCAGAGGCAGACCCACCCCAGACCCTGCTGCCATCTTACTGGTGTTGCTTCCGAAGGCCATCTGGACCCTGCTGGAGACTCCGTGTTTTGCTCAGCTCCCGGCTCAGCTCTTCTTGATATGCCTTCTTCATGGCTTCAATGGCTAGGAGCAGAACAGACAGGCAAAGGAAAGGTTGGAAGGGGATCCGTACAATTCCATTTGTACTGGTGCAGACAGGCCCGAAGCTGTGTCCTGAACCCAGTGGCTTTGGGTGAGTGGGTCAACCCTCTGCGCCCTGCTTAAACTAATCCTGTGGGAGGGGCTCTTCTGGGGTGACACGTCGGTATCTAACTACTGACACCTTCTACCAGCAGTCTCTGGCTAGCCTTGCACAGTGCTTCGCACCATCCCCATAGCCTGGAGGCCATCCTTCAAGGCCTATCTGCCCTGCCTGGCCTGTGATCACTACAAAGCTATGTAACTCTGACTCAATCCTCTGCCTCAGGACCCTTTCTGGAAGGTGCTTAACCATGGTTTTTCCTTCTCCAGAGGTGACTAGAGCAAGGCCAGCCAAGGAGAGTAAGGCCCAAGTGCTGGCTCCTGCTGGCTGCTTCTAACGGGGAGCTGTCGAGAACCCAGCATTTCCCCATACTGCACAGGGTGGGGTAAGGAGTATGCAAGCCTCCAGCCTTAAGTTTATCCACAATTCCAAAATGCAACACCTCTGAACATTGGGAGGATCTCATTCCTCCTTGGTGGTAGTCCCTGCTGTACAGAGGGACACAAGGCTGTTTGTTGGTGGTCTGCTATCCAACACAGCATCACTTGCATCAAGTTCAAGTTCACTGTGAAAACTTTGGGGCTGGATCACTGGGCAGTGCCTGCATCCTGGTGGGGAGGGGTGGCTACTCTAGGCTGCCTGCCCTAAAACATGAACATGGCCCAAGGCTGGTAGAAATGACCATGTAGACTTGACTGCAGGAAACACTTGGCCAGTATCGGCAGGATGCAAGCTCCAGGTCACATGACCTCACTCATGCCTCTACAAAGTCAGAGGGGCTGCCCAGGATATGCCATGCACACACAGCAGGTGTGCAGTAGACAGAGGAGGGAATGGAATTTGTCCGTCTCGGGTGTTTCCTGTTTTTGGTTTGGGAGGAGTGAGGCTGTTTAGAGCCCAGCTTTGCAATCAGAGTCGCTACTCTAGGCTCAAAGCACTGCCCTGTCATTTCCAAGCTGGGCCATCTGGACAAGTCACTAACATCTCTGAGGTCCAGCTTCCCTACTCCCTGGATACCATAAACATGCAGGGTGCTCCCGTGAGGAATATGTGGGCATAGAGAGGTACACACTGCCAGTACAGCAAAGGTCACGACCATTCTCTGAACATCCCAGGGTCTGACCCAAGTACCTAGGCAGGTGACACTCTGCCAGAACTGACTGTAGCGGATCAGTGTCGATCCCCTACATGGAAGTAGTATGTGGTATGTACCCCTCAATGTCTATAGAACTCAAGGGAGGGGAGGTCTTTTACTGCCTCACTTTCCCTGGTTCAAGCTGGACCACAGATCACTCCTGGGGCTTCCAACCCCTACTGACTTCTTACCCCAAATCCTTCCTCAAGGGGCTTCCCAGCTCGATGTGGAAGCACAGGCCCTGCCCATGGTGCATCCTTGGTCCTCACCTGAGGCTGTGGCTGCCGTCTCCTCGGCTAGCAGCCATTCCTTCTCTTGCTGCAGCCGCTGTAGCTCTCTTTCATGGTGCCGCTGCAGCTGCTCCATCACCTGCTGGTGTGAGGACTCCATCTCTGCCAGGCTGCGCTCACAGGCTTCCTGTGGGCCAGAGGCCAGGGAGGTCACGAGGCTGTCCCCAGTACCTGGGCTAGAAGTCCTTCCAGGCTCCAAGCCTCAGTGCACACCTGCCCAGGGCCAGGCTCATGACCCTGCTCTGGAATGCAGCACTATGTGTCCACACGGTTCCCACTGCCATCCACCCCTCTGGGATGCAGCACCACGTGTCTACACGGTTCCCACTGCCATCCATTCCTCTGGGATGCAGCACTATGTGTCCACACGGTTCCCACTGCCATCCACCCCTCTGGGATGCAGCACTACGTGTCCACACAGTTCTCACTGCCATCCACCCCTCTGGGATGCAGCACTACGTGTCCACAGTTCCCACTGCCATCCACTCCTCTGGGATGATGCACCACATGTCCACATGGTTCCCACTGCCATCCACCCCTCTGGGATGCAGCACCACGTGTCCACACAGTTTCCACTGCCATCCACCCCTCTGGGATGCAGCACCACGTGTCCACACGGTTTCCACTGCCATCCACCCCTCTGGGATGCAGCACCACGTGTCTACACGGTTCCCACTGCCATCCACTCCTCTGGGATGATGCACCACATGTCCACACAGTTCCTGCCATCCACTCCTCTGGAATGATGCCCTATGCATCCACACCGTTCCCATTGCCATCCACTCCTCACCCACAGTCTTCACTCACCCCCTTTCTGCTTCGAGTCTTGCAATGATTCCCCAGCTGCAAGACAAAGTCTGGTTTCCCTGGCTCCATCTCTGTCCAGCCCACAGCTAAGCAACCTCACAGCTATAAAACCAGTTCTTGGGAGGGTGAAACGGCTCTGTGGGCAAAGGCACTTGCTGGGTAAGTCTGAGAATGCAAAGAGAACTGACTCCATGAAGTTGTGTTCTGATTTCCACATGCCGTGGCATGCATGTGTTCACCCCCCTGCAATAATAACAACTTAGAAAAAGCAACTCTGTCTGCCTGCAGTGGGAACTGCGCTCCTTCCTGGATATCTCATATTCTCCACAGCCCATCTTTTTTTTTTTTTTTTTTCCTTTCTGGTTTCCGAGACAGGGTTTCCCTGTAGCTTTGGAGCCTGTCCTGGAACTAGCTCTTGTAGACCAGACTGGCCTTGAACAAACAGAGATACAGAAGAGAGATCTGCCTGCTGGGACTAAAGGTGCGTGCCACCACCACCTGGCTCCCCACAGCCTATCTTAAATATCTTTACTAGTTCTGCCTCTGGGCAGCCTCTCCCCTGCCTCCCAAGGTCCTGCTTCTCCAAGAACATAATAGCCTGGTGACAAGGAACACCTGACCTAGCCTAGCTTAGGCCTGGGGTGCAGGCCAGGGTAAGTCACATGGCAGAGGCTGAGTAAGTGAGCTGGAACTGTTGATGCCATAAAAAATGGATTTGTAGACAAGATGTAGGTAGACCCATGTGTGCTGCTGGAGTACCTACTGCGGCTGATGGGTATGGGCAGATTGCTGTCATCACTGTCCTTTTGAGAGAGGGTCTTGCTACATAGCCAGGCTGGCCTTGAACTCACAACATTCCTGCCTCAGCCCCCTAAGTGCTTAGGATTACAGGCATCCTTGCGGTTTTTTTGCAACTCTAGCCCTTGCCTGGGCAGGTCCACTCCTAGGGACATGCCACAGGAAGTTACCTGCATACAAAGACCAGGGGATAGAGGTGGGGTCTAAACCTGCAAAGGGCAATTGGCAGCTGCTGGAAGGCAGAGATGCCATGCAGACTGCTGTGGAATGAAAGCTGACTCCGGACAATATTCACGGGTGCAGAACAGGCCCCGGCCTGCCCTAGTCCAGGTATGCGAAAACAGAAAATGCTGGAAGGATATTATGGCAGGCTGAATAACAGTTCTCCAAGGATATCCATATAAGACCTGGGACTGCCTTGGTCCGTGAAGAAAGGAACTAAGGCCTCTAGCCAGCTGACCCTAGAAGCAGAAGACTGTCCTAGACAATCTGGTGGCCCAAGGAACAGACCGCCGGATGGGGGCAGGGAAGGCACAGAAGATAAGCATCTAGAGACCAGGAGAGGACACAGGCTGTGAGTGACAAGTTTTGAAATGAAGGAAGGGAACACAGGCAAGGCTGCAGAGCCCACGTCCCACCTGCAGCCTAGGAGAGGAGCATGATCCAGGCCCCCACCCCCACCCCACTTAGCCTGCGTTGGGCTTTAGCAAGAGAACTAGCAAGTCTGTGTCCCTGACCCAGCTGTCGGTGGGGTTTGTCGCCTTGGCCACAGGAAGCTGATCTAGATACGTACAATGGTGGACAGAGGTACACATGGGGCTGGGGGCAGCTTCAAGGTCCATTTCTTCTTACATTTTTTTAGGGGTGGGGTCCCTAATGCCACAGTATACTGGTGGTCAAAGATTCTTTCCTTCCTTCTATCGTGTGGGTGCCTGGGATGGAACTCAGGTCTTTAGACTTGGAGGCAAGTATCTTTACCCAGAGTCATCTTGACAGTCCTTGAGGGCTCATTTCTAACCTTTTAATTTAGATAAATTTTGCAGTGGAACCCGAACCCTTGAGTATGCTAGCTCTACCACTGAGCTACAGTCCCAGACCTTCACTTGATTTTTTTTTTTTTTTTAAAGACGAAGTCTTCGTCTAAGCCTGCAGCCTCCAGTTAAGTTTGGCCTGGTGTTTACTATCTGGCCTCAGTTTCCCAAATGCTGGGATTCTGCACCACCAATGCCTGGCATCTGTATTACTTTAAAAAATGTAAATGTGGTTCTTGTATAATTTGTTTTTAATTATTTTTTGTTTTGTTTTGTTGAGACAGGGTTTCTCTGTATATCTCTGGCTGTTCTGGAACTTACTCTGTAGACCAGGTTGGCCTTGAACTCATGGAGATCCACTTGCCTTTACCTCCTGAGTGCTTGGGATTAAAAGTGTGCACCACCACCACCAGGCAAATTTTTGGTTTTCTGAATCAGGGTCTCACTATGTAGCTCTGGCTACCCTGAAACTCACTATGTAGACCAGGCTGTCTTTGAACTCATGGAGATCCACTTGCCTTTACCTCCTGAGTGCTTGGGATTAAAAGTGTGCACCACCACCACCAGGCAAATTTTTGGTTTTCTGAATCAGGGTCTCACTATGTAGCTCTGGCTACCCTGAAACTCACTATGTAGACCAGGCTGTCTTTGAACTCATGGAGATCCACCTGCTTCTGCCTCCTGAGTGCTCGGATTAAAGGTGTGCATCATCACGCCAGGCTATGTTTCACATATAATTACAAAAATGCCTGGGAGGTGAAGAGATAGCTGGATAGGCAAGCTATTTTCTGTGTGTAAGAACCTGAGTTCAGAGCCTAGCACCCACATAAAAACACACTAGTAACCTCAGTGCTGGGTGCAAAACAGACAGATCCCCAGCCACACAGCCAGCTCTAGCTTCAGTGAGAGACCCTGTCTGAAAAACATAAGTCAGGCATGGTGACACACACTTTTAATCCCAGTACCTGGGAGGCAGAAGCAGGGGAATCTCTGAGAATCTGAGGTTAGTCTGTCTACATACTAAGTTGCAGGCCAGCCAAGGCTACGTAGTGAAACCTGGGTCTCAAAAAGGAAGAGGAGGGAATGTCAAGAGAGATGGATCAGTGGTTAATATTTCCTGCTCTTCCAGGGGATCTAGGTCAGGTGGCCCAGTCCCCTGGAACTTCAGCTTCAGAGGTTCTGAAACTCTTTTCTAACCTTGGTAGGTATCTACACATACAAAATACACACACAAAATTTTAAATAAGTAAAGAGACAAGGCAGGTGTAGTGGCGCATGCTTTTAATCCTAGCACTCAGGAGGCAAGGCAGGTAGATCTCTGTGAGTTCCAGGACAGTCGGGGCTACAGAGACCCTGTCTCAAACAAACAAACAAACAAACAAACAAACAAAAAAAAAGCAGCAGCAGCAATTCACAGTTCACTTCCATTCTCCACATTTCCACACTAGCATGCACGCCACATGCATAAACACAAAGGAAAATAAACACATTTAAGATCACTAAAAAGGGCTGGGACTGGGAAGAAACCAAGGCATAGACAGCCACATGAAGGAATATAGTTCTTCCCCCACCAAGACCCCACCCACGTCTCCTGCAGCTACTCCTGGGACCACAGTAGGTTTACGGCAGAGAGAGGCTGGATTCAGATTATTCTGAGTGTGTGTGGTGGCAGGAGATACCCGTCCTGCTGGGCCTTTGCTCCTGTCCTCTGACTGCCCCTTACAGACCAGGCCACCTCGGGAGTAGAGATGAGCCAACTATACTCCATGCTTCACCTGTGAGCCTCAGGCTCCATCATAGAAGTCTCACAAGGGCCTCCTGTGAGCCTCTCTGGGCCCAGCACTCCAAATCTGTGGAGAGCTCAGCAGCACGGGGCTGAGGGTCAGCCAGGTGCCAACTGTGACCTACCTTCCTTAGTGCCCGAGGTGTCCTGACACTGGCCTGTCTCTGCCATGACATCACAGTAGAGGGAGAAGTGCTGGTGACCCCACTGCATTAGCTAGAGTGTCCTACAGCTGCTACATGCTGCAGCAGGCTCACTGCTGAAATCCCACCCCTGCCCAGCTGTTTGCAGTGGTGAGCCCACCCCCGGCCCTTCAAGAAGGGCATCCACTCAGCCTGAGAGAACAGACCGTGGGATCACTCCTGGAAGTCACCTCTCCAGGATCAGCTAAGCTTCTAACCACCTCCTCCTGCACTCCTGCACCTGAGAGGGACGAGTGACTCCGCCCTTCTTTTCTCCAGCGGCTGCCATCCCGGCCACCACTGTTTCCTGAGCGGTTCCATCTCACCTCTTACCACCTCAGCTCTACTGCCCTACGCCTGCCCCGACTTACTGAGATGGAGTGCTGGCAGCACCAATGGGGCAGGAGAGAACCAGAAAGCAAGGGCTCCAGGCCTGCCTACAGTTCAAAGGTCACACCACACTTCTGAGCCCCAGTTTTCTCACTGAGATGCTTAAGCGCCACAACCGTGCTTTTCAAGTTTTCAGTTGAGTAAAGCGAGCTTGTTGTCAGGTGAAATCTGCAGCTGGCTTTCACTGCAAACAGCGCACACAGCTGCTCTGCTCCCAGCGAGTAGACCCTCCCAGAGAGGAGTCTCCAGTTCCACTCAGTGACTCCAGACTGTAGTATTGACTCAGCCTGCGTGCCAGGCCCCACCCAGGGCAGGACCTGACAACACTGGGCTGGGCCACTTTCACCCTCCCTTAGCCCAGGTAGCCCAGGATAGCCTCCTCAACAGTTTCCCAAACCTTGGCTTCTTCAGCTGATCTCCCCACTCACAAACCAGTGGTAGCCAGCCCCCACCTGTGTGGTGGTCCAGCCTGGGACCCCAAGGGTGCCCTCCCAGACCCTAGGCACCAGGGCCCCAGCTCTTCCTTCAGACCTCTGCCAGCACTGTCCTGGCCCTTTAGGCTTGGGCCTTGTCCTCTCCTTATCCGCAGCACCCCAAGATCACCCGTGTGTCACTGTAGAACTCTTGGCCTCTGCAGGGAACCGGCTCTTCAGCTTGCCCTTGGGGCTCTACTGTAGGCACCAACTGGCCTTCTACCCTCACCACAGCCAATATCCCCACCCACTCACCACTAGAGCTCTGATCGGCTGTGACCCTCAGGGTACTTTCCAAGAACCTCCTAGCGTCTCACATACCACACACACACACCCGGGACCCCAGCGTTCTCTTCTCCTCCTGGCAGTGGTATGTATGGTATAGACTACAGACAGCTGACTGCCAAATTATTCAGATTCTGTGACTCGGCAATTAAGCAAAAGTACTTTTAAAAAATTAAACACATATGCTTACAATGAATTACACATACACACACACAAAAAAAGGAGGTTGTGAAGGTTGGTGTTAATTATTAACTAGACGAATCTAGAGTCACCTAGGCAACAAGCCTCCAGACACACAGAGGGATTATTTACGGCTAGCCTCTGGCCGTGCCTCTGCAAAACTGTCTCGAATTCACCTGAGGTGGAGAGGCCACTGTAAAGGAGACCCGTCATGGGCTGGGGGCCCAGGCTGCACAAAATGTAGAACAGTGTCTGAGCACAAGCACTCATCTCTCCTGGCTGTGGAGGCGATGGGACGGCTACCTCAGACTCCTGCTGCCACGGCTTCCTGCTGATGGACCCTTTCTCCCTCAGGTCACTTTGGCCAGGATATTTTATCGCAGAAATAGAAAGCAACAAGACAGAAAATGCCATGGCTGGTACCCAATATGTGTCCACCCCACTGCTACAATGCGTTTATATTGTGTGTGTGCACCCTGACCCTCACCTGGACAGCAGCGAGTGCTCAGGGCCTACTCAGGGGGAGGCGCAGTGTGGACACTGCTCAAGGCCACACACTGGGACTCAGTTTATTGTTTCTACACTGTCAGGAGCTAAGCCAGTGCTGAGAAAATGCTAGGAATGCAGATTCGCCTCGCACGGGTGTCACGTCTAGAATTACATTTATACAGGCGGAAAAGGTGAACACTTCTGACTACAATGTTCTCAGTCTCCACAGAAAGCAGTCATGCAGTTCAGCAAAGAATATGCTTACAACACTGATCTTGAGAAGTTCTGACGTCTTTTCATCTTACTCATTAGCATAAAACATCAATCAAGACACAGAGAACCACCCGTGTTTGTTAATCAACTGTGGCCACAAGGATAAGGAGAAATCATTAAAGCAGCCTGAGAAATACCCATCTCTATATGGAATTCACAGTAACAAGGATTGTACACTTTATTTGCACATTACATACATTATATACTAAACAACCTTTTATAATTTATAACAAATATATGCACACACAGTTTATTTCTGGTGAACTAGCTGTCCAGTTGTGAGAACCAAAATCATTCCCAGACAGAGACAAATGTCCGCAGGGGACAAAGTCATTTCCCAGGGAGGACAAAGTTGCCCTAGAGGGAGAAAGTCACCCTCCCTTGTTGAGAACTGCTGTCCCAAGCAAACTCCTGAGGACACAAAAGAGGCTCCCAAGTCCCACAGACCTCCTCGTAGGCAGGGAAAGCTCCTCCCTGCACTGCACGTAGAGAGTGACACCCAGGGCCACTGGCTCCCCGCTTCCCCAGTGAGGCCGGAAGAGATCCAAGTGCAGAGTGTTGCACGGGAACTCACACACAGGCTCTGCAGTCAGCCGGACCCATGCTCAAATCCCACCTCTGACACCTGCAGGCTGGGGGACCTCGGGCAGGTCACATACCCTCTCAGAGCTCAGTGGCCTTGTCTGTAAAATGGGCACAGTGATCATGCCCACCAGCTGTGGGGAGATTAAATGACATGCTGTGTAGCAAATGGCTGGCACGATTCTCACACACAGAGAGGGTTCCCCAAACACAGCTGCTCTCTGACAACACAGCAGCCAGAAACCTGCCCCCACCCCACAGAGCACCTCCTCAGCTTACCTGAGAGATGTAGCCTGGAGGGACATGGCTGTCATCCTGGGGTCTGGGGGCATTCTGAGGCGCTTCTCCTCGGAGACGCCATGCCTCCAGCTGGGCACGGAGAGACTGGACCTGAACACAGGAAGACTAGGTCAACAGGCATCCTGAAATGGGGAAGGGTGCTGGTAGGAGGCAGGGAGCCCAGTTTCCCCAGCGTGCTTAGTAACAGCTCTGGTTTGCAGAAGGGGCAGCAGCCCCAGCAAGCAGTGCAGACAAAGGGACTTCGTGGCTGGGTCCAGGATGGCTAGGTCAATGACCCGGGTGAGCTTTGACCCAGACAAGGTTGGGAACAGCACACAATCATGGATGTAGCTATCACCCATGATTGTAATGGGGGGACATCGCTGCGCCTCACTTTCCATGTGTGAGAAGGGACTGGGGCCTAGCAGGACAGATGTCACGGAGGGCAAAGAGGCACCTCGCAAAGCAAAGGGCCTGTTCTTTGCCTCTCCTCATGTGTCTTCCCTGTAGAAGCCGTGGCAGAACAAAGACAAAGCCATACAAAACAAAGTCAGCTCTAAGGGCTGGGGGAAATAGTCGCCTATGAGGTGCCTAAGATGTCAGTTGGCAGGTCAGATATGGGGTGAGATCCTAGACACTGTAGGGCTGCAAGGCCAATATCAGGTCATGCACACTGGTACCAGAAGAGTCCTGATGGGGAGAGAGGCCTACCTCCTTCTCCAGGGCTTCATGGCTGTCACTTGGGGACCCCCGTCGCTCGCTGTGTCCTTGGTTGAGCAGGGCAGTGAGTGGCACTCTCTTGTTCTCCCGCAGGGGCAGCTTTTCCAATTCCTGCCACTTCTTTTCAATCTCTTCACTGAGGCGGCTCTGCTGGTCATCAGTTAGGGGGGCTCCCAGGCCCCTCCGAGGCCCATCACCACTGGGCGTCTCTGGCGTCCTGCTGTCCGTGGACTCAAACCACTTGCGTCTTTCCTCAGAACGTTGAGCCAGGTCCCGCTCCAGATCCTCATGTTTGGTTGGGCGCTCAGGAGTAGAGCGGGACAGAGTGCGCACGCGCTGGGGGGAGCTTGGCGTTAATGGAGAGAGCTCCACGTAGTCCAGCGACTGTCGTGGTCCATCCACTTTGCGAGGGCCACCGCGGCCGATAACTTCAGAGCCTGTCCGCTGTTCGCCTATCTTCAGGGAACCCTTCTGGGTGCCATAGCCACGCAGCGTGTTTTCCTTATTGCAATCTGAGAGCCTAGGACATCAGTGGAGCTGCATCAGGGGGCAATCTTTGCCCACTCCAGCTCATAGAGCACTTCGAGAAGGGTCCAGGCCAGGGACTGGGTAGGGACTCCAGGGAGCAGGCAGTTCTGACTAGGGGTGGAGACCTTCCACCTCATTATCAGACCCTGGGAGGACCCTAGCAAGAGCATCTGCCAGCAGATTCCCTCTCATAGTCTCATCGACCGTATCTGGGACACGGGGCAGCAAGGCCTCACACGGCACGGGTGTGGGGGCTCAATGTGCAAAGTAAACGGAAGAGTCTTTACAAGTGCCAACGCCTGTGTTATTACAGGCATAAAACAGTAACACGGCTGCAACACCTGTGTTATTACAGGCATAAAACAGTAACACAGCTTCACGAGGAGCTGAGGAAATGGCTCCGCAGTTAAGAGGTTTGGTTCCTGGAGTTCACATGGTGGTTCACAACCCAGGGGACCTAACACCTGCTTCTGACCTCCAAGGGCCCTGCACGACATGATGCATATACAGGCAACACACACACACACACACACACACACACACACACACACACAAAATGCATAAGGCTAGGCCCTGGGTTTCGGGTCAGGCTCAGAGTAGGCGATGCTGATGAGGGGAGACACTGATACCTGAGTGAACAGAGCACAGGCGGTTGAGACACCAAGTGACAGCTGCAGCTCAGTCCAGCAGTGTTCATTGCCATTCAGCTCCAAACTATACTTCCCAGCATCCTCTGCAGCACTATAATCATGTGACCACATTCTGGCGTGGGGTAGAAGCAACTCCCTCTAAAGGGCCTCCTCAGCACTTCAGCTGTGCCCTCTGACCTGACGACCAAGCAGTAAGCTAAGGGCTGCTGAGCTGTGCACTGTGTCTGTACTAAACATCTGAGCCAGTCCTGCAGAGCACTCCAGCCTGCACACTAAACAGTCCAACAGTACGCTTCTGCAGAATTCACCAAGGCCCCGGGATACATGCCTACATGGGTACAGATCCGATACCTAACGTGCCAGGTGAGGAAGCTGAAGTGCAGATGGGAAAGCCTCTGGCCTAGGGCTGAACAACCACGGTGCAGCCAGGCTTGGGGACTCAAGTGGCCTACCTTACTTCTGTCCTGCAGCCACTTCAGCTCCTCACACACTCACAGACCCCTGCCCTCTACCACAGCAGCCAGAGGGGGCCATGTGCAGAAGCCACAGTACCTAGCACACAGAAGAGCCCACTTTGCCTCCTGAGCCTCCTCTCTGAATCACCAAGACCTTCTCCAGCTTTTAGAATGTAAGGGGACCTAATGAGACAGGGGCCAGGTCTAGGTTCTCAATGGATTCCGGATGGCCAAGAGCATGTGCTGCTCTTTCACAGTTGGTTGCTGGAGGAACTGAGCCCCAGAAGGTACAGCCACAGGACCCTCAGGTGAGTATGCAAAGCCCCACACAGAAACACGGCATCATCCCTCCCCCAGGGCCCAGCCCAACACATACTTGGTGACATCTGGGGCTGAAGTTGGACGCACAGTCTTCCTGAGAGCCTCAATCCAGTTCCTCCGGATGCCCGAGGTCATGGCCGACAAGGTATAAATGGCATCTTTGGTCTACAAGGGCAGTCTACATGTAGTTTGCCACATGGCCAGCCCCGTGTCCCCTCCCCTTGTGGAGGTGGTCCTTCCTTCCCAGGAGGGTGTATGAGGTCAGGTAGGTAAAAGGTATAAAACCCTCTGCCAGTCTTGCTCCAAGTCTCCCTAAATATGCTAAGTACGGGCATCAGCACTGCTGACCGGCAGAGGAAGGTCTGACAGTAAATGAGCAAGTGAGTCAGACTGACACCTGCCCAGGCCTGGGTTACACACTCCACCTCCCGGATCTGCATGCGGCCTTACATGGATCTGGAAGCCATAGTTGCGCTGTACCGCGTACTCCGTGACGTCTGTGCAGGAGCGCAGGTCGATCTCACCATCCAGTTCATCCGCCTAAAGCAAGAGGATCCACCGCGGTCTACGTGGGCCCTGTGGAGTCCCACTCCACAGACCCTAACCATGAGGACCCACCCACCCAGGCACCTCACCTCCTCAGCGGTGGAGTCCCTGTAATATTTGAGGCTTGAATCCGTCAGCACAAACCAATGCTTTTTCCACTGTGAAGGAGGAGATGGTGAGGGAAAGGCAGGGGCAAGGAAGACTATGTGCGCTTGTCCCATCCCTTACTCCCATCTTTACAGCTGAGGGGTGTGGCGGGAGTCACAGCTTAGAAAGGCAGATCTGAACTAGCAGACAGTGGCTGTGAACCGGCCCGTCTCGGTAACTACGTCTTCTGCGGCCCCAGTGGACAGCCTTTCTTTGGCCTGCTCACCCCATGTTACTGTTTTTTGAGACAGGGTCCCATGTAGCTCAGGCTGGCTTTCAGTCTGTGATGTAGCCAGCGTGACTAGGATGTGTATGGATACATGTACCACAGTGTGCGTGTGCATCAGAAGACAACCGTGGAGAGGCTTCCCTTTCCTTTACTGCTACCCGTCCTGGATTCTAGGAATCAACTCAGGTCACTAGGCTTGCCGTGGCAAGTGCTTTACCAGCTAAACTGTCTTGTTGGCCCGACCCTGAACTTCTCATCATCCAGCCTTCACCTCCCGAGTCCTAGAATTACAGGCATGCGCCGTCATGCCTGGACTGTGTGAGGCTGGGGATTGAATCCAACCATTCTGTCAACTGAAGGATTCTCAGGCCACTCCAAACCCCTCAGAAGACATCAAAGCTCAGCATGTGCCTTCCTCCAGTCAGACGAGGGAAGGGGCAGGGCTCTGAGAGGTTAAATGCTTAGCAAGTCAGTGACTAAGTTGGGCCAGACCTCTGCCAGTCTTTTTCCACATGCCCACTGGATTGACACAGGGTCAAGAACAAAGATCTCTCAGACAGGACTAGAAAGAGGCCTGGGGCAGGCAACTAAGTTCTGCTTCCCCATCTGTGCTGTGGGCCGATTATGCACAGTTTCCACTGGGAGAGCGCATTGGTGAACCCTAACGTTTGTGAGCTGCAGTTTGAGTGTCCCTGCTCTGCCTCTTAGGAGGCCAAGGTTAGGCCACCAAGCCAGGTGGGCAAGGGACAGGCAGACAAACCTGGCATCCCACGCGCCAACCTCAGCTTCCCCCTGGGCTCTTGCCACTTTATTGGAATGTCAGTTGGGATCAGCCCACTGCCAGGATGGGTGTTTCCCTGTCCAGCCCTCCTGGGGCTCCCCTGACACCCCATCCCTGTTGGTGCTGTTTCTTGCTTTTGTTCCCTAAAGACATGATACGGTTTCTAGCATTTGAGGGTGAGTCTTTCTACTTCTTTCTATGTGCTCTCCCCGGAGAAATAGGGTTTAGCACCAAAAACCCAGAGTATGAGTGTTGCCTTGCTGTGTGCCCATCAGTCAGTGTTCCACTTCCCCAGTCTTTAGTGTTCTGATGTACAGTGGGGATGATAAGAAGTCCCCAGGCTTTGAGTCAGGTTGGAGGCATCCACCCCTCATGTGTCTTTCATGGCATGTGGTACTTGATCTTGGGAACAGTTCAAAGAGGTCAGCCTCTTTCTTGCCCCTGGAGTGGACTCAGGTAACACTTGGAACCGCAACTGTCTCTGCAAAGTGGGTGGGTTCTGTGGAAAATGGCGTCTCGGCCCTCTAGGCCTACTCTGTCACTGTTTGCAATAGAAGCTGGATGGAGCTCTGAGGACCTAAGGTTCCAGGGTCTAGGCTTGGGCTGCCCAAGACATCACTTTGCCCAAAAGAGGTCTCACTCTTGGGGGCCTGATTCCCATCTGTGCACAAGGAGCCGGGCTGGCCACACTCCCAAAGCCCTTCCAATTTGGACATTCCAAAATCCTATGAACAAGCATGAGTAACAGCCAGTTCTGGGTGGGGCCCTTAATCCCTCTGCCCTCCAGGGACCTTGGGTAGGGAGGCCAGGAAGGGGTCACTGGCAGGGTGCCAGGGCTTGTGTGAGCCTGGAGAGCAGCCACTAAGGGACGTTGAGCAGGCAGCAGGGACAGAAGACTGCTGGCTGCGGGGAATAAAGCGCGTGGGCAGGAAACACAATGCGATTCCCCTTGGCTCGGAGCCCTGCCCGGCATGCGGGCCGCACGCAGATCTGAGCCACAGGCACATGCAGGCAGAGTAGGCAGGGGGCCAGCTTAGCTCCCAGCCTCCAGCCTGCCTGGCAGCTGACAGAGCAGAGCAAGTGACCGGTGCTGCTCCAGACACTTCCAAGGACAGATACATTAGACTAGATAGATGGAGGGTGATAAGTTGAGCTCCCAGCAGGCAATAGAGGCTTCTGCCCCCTCACACAGCAACCTCCGTGACTCTGTTCTCCACTTTGTCCATCATTTGCATGTCATAGACCTCATAACTGAGGCTGTGATTTCACCAACAGAGCCCCAGATTTGAGAGTGCCCCACTCTACCCCAGTATCTGGCAATCTGTACAACTCAGGCTTCTGTGACGCCTCGGCCCAAGACCCTCGGATTCCTAGCTGATGTTGTCATAAGGAAGGAGAGCCAAGATGCTCCTGGTGAGAACTGGGGCTAGCACCCAGAGTGTGCATGGCAGGGAGGCTCCACCCTGAGACGTGTGTGTTAAAACCGATGAGGAAGCTCATAGCTGGTCTCCCTTTCCCTGGACCAGTTCGACTCCTTTAGGGTTTTCACCTGGCCCTCATCTCGGACTCCCTCCCCCCCATGCCTACTCCAAGAGCCTTTCCATAGAAGCCTTGCATCAGCGCAGTCAAACTCTCCCCTCCAGCCCAGCCTCTTACCTCTCCAGGCTCATCCAAGATCGACATCCATCCCTTCTTGAAGTTGAGCAGGTCGGGCTGCAGGGAGATGGAAAGGCAAAAGGTCAGACTCGGGAGGAAAGCCAAGCAGGCTGCTAAGAGGGACCATGACAGTCATCTTGCCCTGGTCCTGTGACACTGGTCCTGGGAGACCAATGAAGAGGGCAAGGGACTCAGGGAACTTTCCCCCAAACCAAGCAGAACCAAGCAGGCTCCCAGCCACAGAGACAGCCTTGGCTCTTTTCCTCAGCATTCTCTGAGAGCCAAGAGGTTGGGCTGAGTGGCTAAGACACACACCCCAGATGTCCAAGCTCCCTGGCCCCACCCAAGATGGAGAGAGAGGAGACAGAAGAAGTTCGCCTATGAAGAGAGCTCTAGGGAGTCCAGAGCGTAACCTTGAGAAACAGCCTAGCAGAAGTCCACGTCCTCTTCAACAGGATCCAGGTGGACCATGCAGAACACAATCCAATGCTCTACCCAAGCCTCTGTTCATCCTCCCACCAAGCCTGCGACCCTAAGGGTCGAGCCAGGCTCAGGCTGAGGACCAGATGGCCTCTTTCCCCTAGGACAGGCCATGGCACCTTAATCCTGGCAAGCCTTACCTGGCAGGTCCTACCCAGGGAGGTAGAGCCCTGGAGTTGGGGGTTCCCAGCTGCAGCATGTCCCAGAGGGAGGCTGTGAGCTAGCTCTCTCTGCCCAGGCCTACATGAAGCTGCTCGTCCTGAACTGCCCATCTGGAGGGCATCATCCCCCAGACCCTCCCTGACCACTGGGGCCCTCGCCGATCTAGGTCCCCGTCCTTCAGTAGCCTCAGCTCTTGCCCACTGGCAGGGAAGGGAACTGGGCTGGCCAAACAGGCTGGCAGGGAGGAAGTGGCCACCTGTTGCCATGGCTCCGAGCCCACCTATCAGAGTCTGCAGCAAGTGAGCCTCACCGGGCCAAGGTGTCTGGTTGCGTGAAGGGAGTCAGTGACATAGTGCAGAAGGGTGGCGGCAGCTGGGAACCAGAGCCACCTGACCTGGCCATCTCTGTGGGCTTGCTCTCCGCTAGAGAACCCCATTTTCCTCTGGTACAGTAAGCGTGCTGAGAGAGCCCCAGGCCAGCAGTCTGAACACCTAGAACCATCCACAGCCGAGGTTGGGGCTCCCTCACCCTGCATACCTGTCTGAGGGAGGAGGCGGGCTATGCTCCAAACCCGGAAACCCCGGGGCTGTGCTCGCCCTGTTTGTTCCCTATTCTGTCAGTCTCCCATCTGTGACAAGGCAACCCAGGATGACCCCCAACTAAGACTGAAGACAGTGACCAACCGTAGCTGGCTCCACTTCCCTTCAGCATGGTCCGCCCACCCCCACAGCCCCAGGACCTGGAAGAGAGGCCCAGTCACAACAGGTCTCAGGAGAAACAGTGTATAAATATCGTCCACCTTCCTGTCATAAATTCCTGTGCTTTGGGGTAGATCCCCTGGCCCCAAACTGGCCCCAAGGAGTCAAAAGTCAGGGCTTGGTCTATAGAGCTGGCACTCTCAGTGAGGCTGACCCAAAAAGGAAGGTCCCCAGGCACAGTGACAGACAGGGACCCAGAGTGCTGCATTAGAAGCTAAGCGACAGTGACCACCACCTCCCCTCACCATGTGTGCAGCCCCCTCCAGGCTCTGGCTCACATGTGTGGCAGTGACTAGGGGTTCTGCCCCAGTCCCAGTATTCCAAGGGCACTGAACATACTGTGGTCAGAACAGCTCCCAGATGACTCCCAAGACCAGTACCAAAAGAGGCACGGCAGGTCTGGTGTGACCTAGCATGGCAACTTCAAGGAGCGAAGAGCAGCAGAGTGAGCGTTTAATCCTTCTGGGAGGGGGACCTTGCTGACAAGAGCAAGGAAGGCTCAGTCAGAGAAGCATGTGCCACACAAACATGAGGACCTGAGGCTAGACCCCAGCACCCACATAAAAGCCTGGATGCGATGGTACATGCCTATAATCCTAGTTCGGGAAGGTGGAGGAGGAGCTCTGGGGTTTGCTGTCAGCCAATCTAGCTAAACTAGAAAGTTCCAGATTCACTGAGAGATCCTGTCTGAAAATAAAGTGGAGTGCAACATACCCAAAGTCACCCTTTAGCTTCTGCCAGAGTTAGGTGTGTGCACACACGCATGCATGTGTGCACATACACGGAGGCACACACAAATAAAACTGAATCTGACAAGCTGCATCCAGAAAGCCGCCATCTCCCCAGCTCCTCAGGCTCAGCTGCCCATTCTCTACCTGCAAGGCAGGAACACCCAGAGGCTCTCATGCCCTCCTCCCCAACCAGTACCACAAGTCATTCCTGCCCGTCACCTCAGCCACAGCTGCAGCCCCTTCTAAGCACACACCTTCAAGGGGTCATCTAATGCCTTAATCTCCCATGCCAGCCTGGCCTGCCCCCACCTATTTATCCCAACGATTCTACCACAGTGCGCACAGATCCCAACACACGGCGACAATCCCCCAAGTCCTTTACATCCGCTATGTCCTCAACCTGAAATACTAAATGTCCTTTTCCACCGACCAAACCTTCAGACCTGCCTAACTGCGTCATCTGAGGCCTCTTCTCAGGGCTTACTCCACGCCATCCACCTGCTGCCCACAGCCATCTCCCATAACCCCAATAGGCCTCTGCTGCATTAAGATTGCTGTAAGCACTTTGGTTTTCCCTCCAGGTGGGCTGATTAAGATGGGGGGGGGGGTGGCAGTGCACATACCTTTAATCCCAGCACTCAGGAGGCAGAGAGACAGGTGGATCTCTGTGAATTCGAGGCCATCTTAGTCTACAGAGCGAGTTCCAGGACAGCCAGGGCTACACAGAAAAACCCTGTCTCAAAAAACCAAAACCAAAACCAAAGCAAACAAACAAAAAGCACAACAAAACTCTTTCAAAGGCACCAGGTACTGTTCTAGGGCAAGCTATCAGCTGTGAACAGGAGCTGTGGTCCCTGCCCTGGCGGGGAGTTTAGGAGACAGACTGTAAACACGCAGAACAAGTATATAATTTGATGCCCAGCGGTGACTGCAGACTGAGGCTCCTTCATAAAGCTTCCCAGGCAAAGGAGAAATGAGAAAGATTTCTGGAGTCCAGGTCAGCCCGGATCTACCAGCTCCCTGAAGTCTTCCTTGGTCACTTGCTCTGTACAGAACACTCAGCTGATAGCAAGGCGTGTATGTCAGAGGGATGGGCTCCATGAACAAGGAGGACCTGGGACAGGCTCAAGTCTGAATGGTGCCCAGGACGAGCCCGGGAAGCACTGTGGACGGTGACCACAAGCCTGTTCCTGGCTCCAAACCACTCGTGGCTCCCCACTGCTCCTGGCTCAAGCTAGGGCCCTTTCTCAGACCCCTTCCTTAAGTTTCCAGCATCCCTGAGATGGTCATTAGCCACGTCCCTTTATCGACACGCCCCTTCCTCCACAGTCCATCGCCATCTGACAGAGTCACACAATCAGAGGACAACTCCTGCAGGAAGCCCTCCTCCCACCAGCAGGGATGCGCTGCCCCGCCCCCTGGCACCCCTTTTTCAGGATTCAGGCACACATGTGGCGCTTAGCAGACTCACCCTGCTTAGCACGTGCTTCCTGGGAGTGGCAACTGTGTACATTTCTTATCTCTCCCCAGAAAGCAAACTGAGACAGACCAGGGTATAAATTTTGGTCTAGTAAAAGGCCAAACTGCATCACCAGGGCTATACTTTTCTCTGGTGCACCTCAGTTTCTCTAACTAAATGACGGAGATGCTATCATCAACCTTGAGGGGATCAATCTGGTACTATCAAAGTATCTGGCAGGCACCCAGTGAGCCAGGCAACCACCTCCCCCTAACCCAGGACACTGACTCAACTCCTCCCCCAACATCCCTCCGTTCAGTAACAGGGAAGGGGAGGCTGCTGACGCCAGGAAAGGCCAGTAGGGAGGTGGCAGGATGTGCGGAGGCCGAGGAAATCCAGGCAACAGAGCCAGGTCATCTCACACACACACACACACACACACACACACACACACACACACACACGTACACGCACACGGCAGGGACCCCACAGGCCACACCCTCAGCAGCACAGCCCACCCCTCACCAGGCCTACCCTTGCGCATGTGCATACACACCCTGTTCATCCTCCTCCCAACCCCAGGAGGGCCAGTCTGGGTCACCAGGCAGAAATCAAAAGCAGCCCCACCCCTCCATTCCAGAACACCACGGCCAGGTGGTCAAACCGTCCTGGAAAACAGGCTGTTTCTTCTTTTACACCTCACCAGCGCCCCTCCCCAAGCCTCAACTCACTTGGCTGTGAAATGGGGAGAACAGTGCTCTCAGCTGTGAAATTCGATAGAATTATCAGAGCATAGCCATTGATTGACAAATCTTGGTAGAGCCCACCTCCAAGAGAAACTGAAACTTCTGACCCCGCCCAAGGTCCCCAGCGCCCAACGCCTAGAGGACTCAAGTTTCAGCCGCCCCAGGAGGGGGCTCCCAACCGTGGGGGTGGGCGGGGCCGGACCCCCCAAACTCTGGCTAGAGCCCACATGGGCTGGACAGCTATCACACGACCCACCAAGGCCCGGAGCACCTCTTTCTAGGCCCAAGCCAAGCAGCCTGGGGGGAGTGGGACTTCCACCAGGGGGCTGGCAGGCGGGGCAAGTGTCTCCCTGAGTCTGTCAGTGACTAGTACCCTCCGCCGCACGGGCTCCACGGCGGGGAGAAGGGCAGGGGACCAGGGAGAAAAGTCTGGATCGAGCTGCCCCGCACTCAGCTCCCGGCCTCGCCGGGTCCGGGCTGGGGCCACTCACCGTCATGGCGGCGCCCCGGGACGCTGCACGGGACTCTCGGGCCGGGCTCCGCGGCGCACCCAGCCCGCCGCCCCTCTCGGCCGCCGGCCGCCTCAGCTCCAGCCCTTCCCTTCCCCGGAGCTGCCCCGGCCCCTTCCATCCGCCCATAAAACTTTTTTTTTTTTTCAAACTTCCTGGGAGGACCCGGGTGGTCCAATGGGAGGCCTGGAAGCCGCGGCGAACAGCGGCGGGGGCGATGAGAGAACCAATGGGGGCGAGGGCCGGGCCGGGGGCGGGGCCTGCGCGACGGGGCGGGCGGATGGGGTGGCGGGCCAGGAGGGCCGGGCTCCGGCCGGCGGCCTGCAGGAAGGAAGGGCCAACATGCAGGTGACTGCCGGCGACGGCGCAGGGGCGGAGCAGTTTGATCTCCACTGCTGGGGCGAGAGCCTGAGTCCCCCAACCCCGTCGGGATGATGGACGCACCCGGTCTTGGCGCCTGGGTCGCAAGACGGAGTACAACACCCAATACTAACGACTCAGCGAGCCCCACTCGTTATCTACGGAGTCGGCATTCGTGCTTCCCACGGACCTGGGGCTCATTTGTTTGTGTTTTACCCAAGAGAACGCAGTGGTTCAAAGATGGATCTACTTGCCCGAGTTCTCACGGGGTGGGGGTGAGAGACATGGGGCAGAGAGGATTCTAACAAGTAAATTGCGCAGCTTATTTATCAGAAGTTGGTAGATAGAAAGAGAAAGCTTTCTCGAAATCTCCCAAGTGGGACTTTCCATTAAGAAGTGCGGGGTTACCGGGTGTGGGTGTGCACCTGTTGCTCGTGTTCCCAGCTCCCTTGTCAATATGTTGTGTTCTCTTTGCCCATGGAAGGCAGCTCATCGTGGTCCTTTAGGTGAGGAGAGACGTCGGTGGAATTTGTTGCTGATTGCACCGGAAGTTTGTGTGACAGTAGCCATTGAACCCTGTTAGCTTAAGCAAGCAAGATACTTGAGTACTCTAAGCCTCAATCTCACCCTGGGTAAATGAGCTGATGCAATGACCCATGGGTGTTAACCAAGTCAAGCAACTAAAACAACTTCTCCATCTCTAGTTAGCCACCCTTAGGTGTGGGCCAGGGAACCTGGGTTACTTGCAGTTTAGGATACTCTGCCAACTAAATTTGGAGCTCAAAAGCATTGCTCTTGCTGGGCATACTGGTATAGGTTGAGGAAGAGGGTGAGACAGGGAGCTCAAGAGTTCCAATCCAGGGGCTGGAGAGATGGCTCAGTGGTTATAAGAGCATTGCCTGCTCTTCCAAAGGTCCTGAGTTCAATTCCCAGCAACCACATGGTGGCTCACAGCCATCTGTAATGAGGTCTGGTGCCCTCTTCTGGCCTGCATACATACACACAGATAGAATATTGTATATATAATAAATAAATAGATATTTAAAAAAAAAGAGTTCCAATCCAGCCTGAGCAAAGTATGTAATTCTAGGCTAACCTGAGCCTGCGCTAAATAGGAAGACCCCAAACAAACAAAGAAACAAACGTGGGAGTATACCGCTATAATCCCAGCACTTGGAGACAGAGGCAGGAGGATCACCACAAGTAATGAGTTGAAGGCTACATATCAAACCCTGTCTCAAAAATAAAGAAATAAATAAAAGTGTATTGTATACTGCAATTACTATGGCGCTCTGATTCTCTGCCCATTTCACAGATAAGGAGCCCGAGGCCCAGGGAGTGAGTTTTTTCCTAGCGTCTCTGTTGAAGTCTCCTCGCAACAACACACACATTAAATTCACTTCCTCTAGATGCTAGTCTTTTGATGCCCATCTGCTTCCCACCCTCCCCCTGCACTCCTTAAAGGTTGTCAGCCCTTGGAAAGTGAGTAAGAAGAGAAACCACCTCCCACCGGGTGCCTGGGAACAGAAAGCATCAGCTTCCTGGCTCTTGGCCCTGAGAGTCAGTCGCCTACTGGTAAGCTCAACCCAAGGACCAGAGTGACGGTGACCAGCTCAGTACACTGGATTCTGCACAGTCAGCTTCCTTTATAACCTGCCTGGGACCGCACTACATTTTCTACATGCCTCTTCCATATGACAGACACAATGCGGAACTCCTGGAGCCCTGTGGAAGGGCTGACCTTTGGACTCTAGACTGCTGCCTTCTGTATGCATGTGCGCGCGCGCGCGCACACACACACACAGAGACAGAAAGAGAGAGAGAGAGAGAGAGAGAGAGAGAGAGAGAGAGAGAGAGAGAGATTCCTTTCCTACTACCTCACAAAAAGATGCATGGAAAATTCCCTTCACCTTTGGAGCCCCAGTATAACAGAGCCACATACCCCAGCCAGACGTAGCCCTCACTGCTTAGTGCTCCCATTCCTCGCCTAGTGCTCCTTTCATCCAAGCACCTTTCCCAGCAGGGCCAGGGGCATAGCTACATGATATAGCCTGGCACCCACAAAGTTCTGGGTTCCATCTCCAACACTGGGGGGAAATGTTTTGCCTTGTACTCCTTGCATCTGGCCCCGCATCCTGTGCCCCTGCATCTGATCCCTTGCCCATGTCTCCTATGCCCATTGCTTTGCCTGATACTCCCTATTTCTGTCTCCCTTTTTCCTTGTCTTCTTACCTCTTGCTCCTCACTCGGTGCTCCCAATATGTGGCTCCATGCTCCCTGAATCCACATCTTTGTCAAGTGCTCCCTGTATCTGACCCCTTGTTAATGTTCCCGACTTCTGCCTGTCCCTCTGCTACAGTGTCACTGACCCAGGAGCCTGTCGTGGTGTTTGCCTCTATGTGCTCTCTGTGGGCAATAAGGGAGCATGTCTTTCTCTGTCTTGGAGGCCAGCCCAGGGCCTTAACCTACGGTATACCCTAAGTAAACACTGGCTAACTGAATGAGTACACAAACAAAAAGATCACAGATCACCCTAGCACAAGAGAGATGCGGGACTTCAGAGGCCCGGAAGTGACTTATGCTGGCAAAGACTGGAGCCACCAGACTTCAGCGACATTCAGCGCGGAGCCACATCTCTCCTGAGGACTCTAAGGTATGACTCAGGGAAGGGGAGTGGACCAGAGCACACGGCCCAGTATGGACAGAGATAGAATTCCTGCTAGTTTTCTGGCTCTTTCAGCAATCCTCAGAGAGGCCCCAGGCAGTTCCATCTCTGGTACTTTACAATTCTAGTCCCCAGAGAAAAAGATCATTGCCCCGGACTCACCAAGCCTCAGCTGCCACATGGCCGGTAGGGAACACGATGGTAACTAAGAGCTGCCAGGCGGGTTTGTAAGTATTCAATGCTCAGATCGGCCAGAGCAGGGTTTGCATCTCAGATGCACCCATGTGTGACATGGAACAAGAGACTTCACTTCCTACTTAGTATGTGGACAACATGAATCTAATTGTCCTTAAGAAGAGGACCAAACATAGTCAGGCACGTCCTGCATGGGCTGTGACACCAGGGAATATAGTAGATACACAGTAACAGCTGGTAGTGTAGACACTGTGCACAGACTACAAAGATCTATCCTTCCAGGGGGTTCCAGAAGTCCAGAAGCACATCTATTATCATAATCCCCGCTTCTCTTATCCTCTCTCCACCAAGGCCTTCCCAGCAGCTCCTCCCAGCCCTGCCGTGTGTTGGTGACCTTTAGTTAGTTTGATAAGGCAAATCCTGCCCAAGGCTTGAAGGACCACTGCACCCAGATAGCCAAGTCTGCTTGACTGCCTTGGGTGCCCCTGCCTGTAGGGAATGGCAGGGAGGAACCATAACACAAATAGGAAGCAGTACTAGGGCAGCCCTGGTCCCCAGGCCTCTAGGCATTCTAAGCTTCTGGTACCTTCCCCTTAGCCCTGGGCAGCTCCAGCAGTTACCCCAGCAGACAGATGTGATAGGCATGACATCTAGTACTCTGACTTTCTCTGAAACACTCTCACTTGGGACTGTGCAAAATCCAGCCCTGTGATATTCTGGCTGTCGGCTCATGTCTGTGCCCACCCTCTGTAAAATCGGCATGCGCCGCCAAGGGCCCTGCAGTGTCAGGGCCCAGCACCAACAGGAAAGTCCAAGAGTTGCCCAGTCACCAACAGTTAACCCCCAAAGTCAGCCCTTGGTTGTTTCTTGCTTGCTGTGAAGGGGCAGGAGGGGTCAAGTCGTAGCTACCTCCTTGCTCCGCCCTGGAGGAAGCCCCAACCAGAGGCCCCAGTGTTTACAGGCCTCTCTGGGCAGGGGACGGGTTACGTAAGGCCAGATGTTTGTGAAACTGGCCCAGGCCCAGGTCTGAGACACACTCTGTAATCCAGAACCCCTTCTGGCCCTCCTCCTCCTTCCCTCCCACCACCTGGCTCCCTGGCTCAGGCCAACAGTTGCTGATTGGATAGTACCCAAACATCCTTCATCCTAAAAGCTTTCAGGATCTGTGCCGTGCACCGGAGGCAGAAAAGCCCACTGTCCAGAGCCTGACAGAGCTTTATAGCGTCCTCTCCTTCCATGAGGTTCTCCCACTCCTCCCTTTCAGCTCCCATTTTTTCTTGGCTAGGACCAGCCTCCTCCCTGCTTCCCTTGTCTATCCACCCTCTCCCCTCCAACCCCTCAGCGGCCAGCCTACCCTTTGCCACCTGAGGACCCCCAGAGACAGCAGGTATGGATTGAACAGCGCGGGCCGGTCCCCTGGCATCCGCCACGAAGTCACCAGTCGGCCCTTGAGTGGGCTCTCAGCCTTGCCCTCTGCTGGCCTCTTGGCTGCCTGTCAAACAGGGTCCAGTGTTGGCTGTAGGTCCCTGATGGGATGGGGTATCCCTGGTCACAGCCTCCCCTGACCATTCTGGTACTGCAAAGGCCCGGGGCTCCCACCTACCTCCCCCGTTCAGAGCTACAAAGGAAAAAAACTGGTTATCTTGGTCGCACTGCATAGTGTTTGACCAACAGGGTCTCTAGGACTCCATGCATCCTTGGGACTTGTGTCCAAAAGCCTAGGTCAAACTGCAGGCTGCAAAGGAGAAAGTTACAGATCACGTATGTTTAGCTCACATGGCATGCATCCATCATCTTGCATTTGGTTCTAACATTAATAACCAAGAAGTCTGGGCCAGGTGTGGTGGTGCACACTTGTAATCCCAGCACTTCAGAGATAGAGGCAGGAGGATCAGGAGTTCAGCTTCAGCAACAGAGAAAGCTTGAGGCCTGCCTGAGCTACATGAAGCCCAAATTAAAAGCACATTTCAAAAAATTTAAAAAAAGAAAAAGCGGGACAGTAGTGACCCACGCCTTTAATCCCAGCACTCGGGAGGCAGAGGCAAGCAGATCTCTGAGTTCAAAGCCAGCCTAGATCTCTGAGTTCAAAGCCAGCCTGGTCTACAGACAGTTCCAGGGCAGCCAGAGCATTTACACAGAAACAGTGTGTCTCAAAAAACAAACAAACAAAAAAAAAAAAACAAAAAACAAAAAAACAAAAAAAAATCTGATTTCTCTTGAAATGTGGGGAAAATGTGGAGACTCTAGGTCCATTGTATCTCAGCAGCAACCACCTGGAGACAAGGGGTCATGCATGTGGCCCCAGCTCCTGTTCCTATCACCTTGGTTACCAGCCTGGCCTTCGGGACATTAACATGAAAGGAATGGACACAGACTTACACAGATGCCTGTCTCAGAGCCCTAGTGCTTCCATTTTGAAGTCACCTCTGTTGGGGCAACTGAGTCACTAGCAAAGCAGAGGCCCTAAGCCACACAGCAGGCTCCAGGCTGAGGAAGGGGACAGAACCTCCTGTCCTCTGGCTGGAATCTGCAAGCCTCTGGAAGCAGAATCTGAAGCCCAGGAACCTGAGAGAACTGAGGAAAGGAGAGCGTCCCGAGATCACAACCCATCACAGCCCACAGCCCACAGCCCTGACCACCACACGGCCCCACTGTGGCTCACCTCAACTCATACCACCACACAGAAGGTGTTCACTAAGTGCTGTGAGTGGGAATGAATGAATGAATGAGTAGTTAATACTCTGTCCAGGAGAGGTGGCAGGGGTGTGTGTTGGGGGAGGCTTTCCACATTGCTAATTTCCTCTTTGCTCACAGAGCCCAGGCTTCAGGAAGCATGAAGAAATCAGCCCGAAAGAGGAAGAGTGAAGTTGTCAGTGCCCCTGTTAGCAATGGGAGACCTCTGTCCCCACCCCACTTCACAGGAGGGAAGACCAGCTACCAAGTAGATCGAGGCGCATAGATGGGACAGAGCCAGGAAGCAGCGTGGACAGGGGTGGGCATGGGGAGCCCAGGGATGCTTGTTGTGGAACATTGTTTTAACTAGGCAGAGATGTGTTACATTTGTCTATGCTGCAGACTACTATGCTACAGAATACAGAAAGGTGAGCTACTCTTGTTTATGCTGAATGTGTCTAATGATGTAAAGATGTGCTGATTTTTTTTTTTTTACCTTGAGTGCCTAAGGTGCCTGATTGGTCTAATAAAGAGCTGAACAGACAATGGCTAGGCAGAGGAGGGACAGGTGAGGCTGGCGGGCAGAGAGAATAAATAGGAGAAGAAATCCAGGCTCTAGAGAGGGAAGAACAAGAGAAGAAGAAGAAGAGAACAAGGCACACACCTGGGGCAAGAAGCCAGGCAGCCACCATCCAGTCAGACATAGAGAAGCAGGGGAAGGAAGATCTACAGAAGTAAGAAGGATAATAAGCCCAGAGGCAAGCAGTAGATAAAGAGAAACAGGTTAATTTAAGCTAAAAGAGCTAGCCAGAAATATGCCTAAACTAGGTGGAGCATTTACAGCTGATAATAAGTCTCTGTGTCATGATTTGGGAGCTGGTTGGTGGCCCAAAAGAAAAATCCTGGTACAGAGCCAGGTAGGGGGACCAGAGTCCTGGGTTCTATTTGAGTCCAGCCACACATTGGCTGTTTCCTTGTCTGTACAAATGGGTTGGACAGCATACGGCTGTGTACGACTCTAATCAGTGGCAGGGCCAGACTCAGGTGGCCTTTCACCTCTGGCTTTTCAGGAGGCAGCACAGGGGAAGAGAAAAACATAGCCAGAGTCTCCAGCTCACGCTGTCTGCCACCTGCTGTCTGCCTCTGCCTTCACCCCTCCAGAGGCTTCTGGTGAGAAAGCTCTGTTTGCAAGTTGCAGAGAGCATCAGGGCACAGCCATGCTGTTACAGCTGGGCCCCAGGCAGCCTCCCTGGTCCACCCCCTGCATAAAGCTCCAGCCTCCAGGGCCCTCCAGGTTGTTGCAGCACCTCCTTTAGCCCACTTTACCGCTCCTGACCCCAGCTCCAGGAAGCATGGCCCAGCCCCACCCAGGAAGCCTGGCCCAGCCCTCTAAACCCAAAAGAACACTGCCCTCAGGAACTATTGGGGCCAAGCTGCCACTTGCTCAGGGAAAGACAGTGTGCCAGTAAGTGGGAAGCTGTGCCCTGGGCTTCTGACTCCAGGACCATCCCCAACCAAGTCCCCATAGCATTGATAACACTGCTGACCACCTCCTCCAAAGTTTCTCTCCTTAAGGCCTCAGCAGAGCCAGCCTGGGTCTGGATGGCTTCAGGACTCTTTGAAGGAGCTCATCCCACCTCCAGCCTGATTTCCCGTCCTTTTCCCTCCCCATGTGTCCAAGCCTAGGACCCAACTACCGAGTCAGCCTGCTTCTGGTCAGCCAGTGAGTCTTCGCCTCTGCTTGGTTCTGATGCCTCAGGCTCCTCTGGCTGGACAGGAAGAAAAGAAAGAACACAGTTTAGCCTATATCCCCCACGATTCACCCATCCATCTACCTTCTAAATTGTCCGTTTATTTTCTGTACATCCAATGTCACTAGATCCCTGTTGCCAACACAGCCATCCCTCCTCTGTCCTCCATACCCTCCTGGCACCCTGCACATCCATCACCCAGTCTGCACCCTGCCTTTGTTTAGGCACCATCTAGCCGTCCATTGACCGTCATGTGTCCACTTATCCATCCACCCATCCCTCCATCCTCCCAGCAGTCACTCACTGTTATTGACTGACCATGTATTCATCCCCGCTACATCCACCCATCATATTCCACCTAATAACCATATACTCAGCCATCACGGAACAACCACCGCTATCCATCACCCCACCATCTACCTAACACCACCATCTGACCATCCTCCACTCACAGCCCACCTGCCACCTAACTACTGTCCCACCCAATCTCCCTCGTGTGTGCAATGGAGCAGCTGTGGATTCCACTGGTCTGCCATCCACTGAGATGAATTCCTCTTGTCTATCAGGCCTTGGGCTGAGAGGCAGAGGTCCTCGCCCCCATGGAACTCATGTTTGCTTGTTTGATGATGCTGGAGGTTGAACCCAGGGCTTTGGGCAATGCTGTGCAAGTGCTCTACCACTAAGCTGTATGCCTAGCCTGTGCCCATGGTTCTAAGGGGAAGTGGATATCCGATGTGACGGATGGAAGCAAAACCGTGAGGCCCACGAGGGGACTGTCACCAGCCCCAGGATGGGGTTAGTATTGGAGGACAGGACTTTAGACAATGAGCAGACATTTGGCAGGTGACAAGGGAAGGTAGCATCATCCTCGGCAACAGGAATAGTGTGTACAAAACCCCATGCAGAGTCCTCCAGCCAGCACAGTGAGAGGAAGATATGGGGAGGAGGGAAGAGGAAGGGGCTTTGAATGACACAAAAGGATCACTAGAGAAGTACCCGGAACCCCAGCAGGACCTGGGGAACTCTCTGCTTTGCCATCCAGGAGATGTCCCTCATGCAGGATTGACACACGTAAGACACATGTGGTGTTTCTATAGAGCTAGAGCCTGAGGGCAGCCCCGCCCTGCCCCCATCTATGCTCTGGGATTGGAGGCATCACCAGGTACAGCACCGGACCCATCCTGGCTACTAGGCTTACTTACCCAGTGAGCACTCTGCAGCCTCTTCTCCCCGCCCGAGCTACTGAAGTGGCCAGAGGTTCTCCATCCTTCGTGTCACCATCCCCTAGTCTCCAAGGGATGCTGAGCCTCAAGTAGAGGAACCCCAATCTTTGTGACCTCCCACCTCCCCTTTGACAGCGGCCACTGAGCCACAGCACTGCACACACATACCCTCCTCTGAGCATCAGGCGATGGCCCTGCCTCCACATGGCCCGATGGCAACTTGAGGGTAGGGCTGTGTCATCTGACCCTGCACCCCTGGTGTCTTAGTGCTGAATTAGATCGTTAACTGAGAACAGCCACAAGGTGGTGGGAGAGAGAGTCTCATAGTGCGGTAAGCACAGGCTTCGGAGTGGGTACTTTAATATCATTTATCAAAACTCCGGCAGGTATGGCCTCTAAGAAATTCTATTGAGTACGGGTCTTAGTTTTATCATCTATAGGCTGGGAACAGTGGCAGCTGCCTCTTCACTGCGCGTGGCACCTATGACCTAACACACCGTCTGTGAGCTGGTGACACCACTGCCAGGTGCTGTCGGGGAACAGGGTGCACACAGTTTGGAACAGCGCCTTTGCTGAACCCCCTCCCGATATGGGACAGACTTACCGCCAGGTCAGGTGGGCTGTGGCTCTCTAGGTGATCTGTTTGCTCCAGAGCAGCCAGAGTTGAAGTTTCTGGTCCACTTGTCACTTTGGTTGTTGGCCACTGGGTGGAGGTACAGGCAGGGCTGGGTAGCTGTGCTGGACCCTCCGACTGCTGCCCAGGGCTATGTCCATTGGCTTGGGCAACCTTGGCCCATCCTTCAGGCTGGGTCGGTGGCTCTGTCTTCAGGGTGTCCTCTGTTCCCGGGGAACCCAACTCTGGTCCTAAAGCCCTGGCTGAGTCCTTTTGGGGTAGCCGAGCCTGCAAGAGCTCCAACAGGCCTTCCCAGTCCAGACTTGGGAGCCGGGTCCAGGCTCCATCCTCAGGTGCCCGGAGAAGGCCCAGCAGGTCCCTCCAGTCTAGGTCGGGTGACTTCTCAGGGCTATACTGATGTGGAGATGCTCCCTCAGCCCTCCAGCCTGTGGCGGTGGTGGCCTCAGGCTGCCGGGCACACAAGCATTCTGTTGGGCCTGCCCAAGAGCTGTCTGGTGGGGTTGTAGGCTGGTGAGGCCTGGACAACTCCTGAAGGCTACCTTGGCCCCTTGGGGAACCCCCCTGTTGCCCATTACTGGGAGGTTGCTCCCAGGCCTCTGACTGCCCCCACCTTTCCCTGTGCTCCTGGGCAGGACCCCTCCATATCCCCTCCAGGCTGGAACTCTCAAGTTCTGGCCAGCCCCCCAGGCCTGGACCCTCCTGGCTGCCCCAGATCTTCTCTGGGTGTCTGTTAGGACTCTGGGGTCTTGACAGCTCCTCCTGACTCTGCCACCCTCCCAGAGGCTGCCTTAGGCCAGTGCAGCCACTCTCTAGATGTCTCTCTGTCTGAGCCTTCCTCTCGGGGGACTGGGCTGATGTCCTGACAGGTGCTGAGGACCTCTGGAGTCGCCGGTCTACCTCAGGTCGCTTCTCGGGGCTCTTAGGATGTGGGGGCTCTGTTCGGCTCCGCCGGGCTGGCTCTGCCTGCTTGACAGAGGGCTTGATCACCTGTGGATGAGGTGAAGGGGTGGGTGAGGCTCCGGACTGCACGGGATAGTCGCTGTCTGTCTTAGCCAAGCCCCAGAAGAAAGGGGGACTGCGAGGTGAGGCTGGATCTTCCTAGAAGCCTAGACCAAAGCAGGTGGAAAGTTGCGGCTCTTTCTCCTTTCACCCAATTTTCTCGGTTCCAGAAAGAGAGCAGCTCACTTTCTGGGCTCCCCCTCCGTAAGATAGTCTTTCCGAGCTGAGCTATCAGGTGCCGAATTTCCATCGTGGGTAACTGTGCCCTTGGGGTGTGCATCACCCTCTGAGTTTCATTTGAGATCCAATCCCTATGCTGGACAAGGCAGCCCCTGAGGCACCTGAGGCTCCCTGAGATCTCAAGATAGCAGACACCTCCATGGGGACAGCTCCGAGGGGCTGTCTTCAAGGGTTTGTATGGAGTCCTTCACACCTTGCCAAGAGCTTCCGGCCCTGGCTTTCCCACAGAGGACCTCCCTGCCCAGGACACCCGCCAGGAACCGAGGGTGTAGAGAGAGGCAGTGACCACTCATGAGGGCTGGTAGCTAGCAGTGCTCACCTGCCTGCTGGGGGTGGGGCTGGACTGTCTTCGAAGTTGGCTCTGACCTTGGCCGGGCCGCTGTGACCGTCCCTCATCCCGAGCCTGGAAGGCCCCTGGTGCTTCCGACTTCCTAAGAGCAAATGCACTGTTCCAGAGGGCCTTTGGGACTTCATGCCAGCACCCAGCATTCCCATCCCACCCCAGAAAAGAGACTCACTGAAAGTCTAAAGTGAGGATGACCCTCTCGGAGCCTCAGTTTCCTCTTCTGGAAAACAGGGACAGTCAACACCATCTAATCTGACTCATAAGGCCATGAAGATGACAGGAGAATCTACGGAGGGGGCAGCTCTTGGCCATGGCTCCCTGCCGCCTCATTCGGCACTTCCTACGACTCACTAGCCATCAGCAAGCCACCCCCGACAAAGGTTAGACTGGTCCTTGTGGGAATTCAGATTTATTAAGCATCTATTGTGTACCAGGCACTGAGCAAAAAAATAATGACAATGTTTAAGAAAGCATTTATTGAGCGCTTCCTATGTTCTGGATGACAAGCATCTGTGTGCCGAGTCCCACAGCCTTGCACAACCTACTTCAGGGACAAGAGCAGTGGCTGTTAGGTGCCTCGTTTTCCCATTCTTTCTCCCCTTCTCCATCCATCTGCAAACAGGATTTCTCAAGCCTCTGGGAGCTAACGGAACCCCGGCACTCAGCTTTGAAAACCCTGGCCCTTCTAGCCATGGGCGAAAGAGCTCCTAGCCAGGTGACTGTGAAGAGACATTCTCTCGATCTTGACAATCCCAGAAAGGTCACCAGCAAAGGTCACCATACCCAATAGAGATCACCTTTAGCCTGTGCCAAAATCCTCACTTCCAGATATGTGTGTGGATTAACAATGAGTGGCTATGGTTATATTCAACATAGCATCACCGTTACTGATCTAACAGACTCTGGGCACAGTCTGCCCCTTCTCCTAGTAAGAGACAAAAGACTAAGACTCCATGAGCAGGTACCTCCTGTGGGGTCTGACTATCGGACTTCATCTAAACTAGCCATGGAGAGAGGCTTGTGGAAGACCCTAGGATCCATCCCCAGCACAGCAAAAATAAGTCAAACCCACGAATCAGTGGGGCCATGACCGCTGGCTGAGCAGAACCAGGAAGGAGAGATGCTTTCAGGCAGCCCAGGGTGAGTCCCCAAAGGAGACAAGAGGGAGGCTGTGTAGGTGTCTGTGAGGACTGTCTTTCTAAAGTTTGCCCACAGTTGAAGAACCACGCAGAACACTGTAGAGGTTTGCAGAAGGAATGGACCTTGGGTGGTGATGACCCCTGTGATCCCAGTGCTCGGGAGGTAGGGCAGGGAAGCTGGGTGTTCGGGGGCATCACTGGCTACACAGAGAGTGGGAGACCAGCCTCTCAAACTGAAGCATGATATTGGGCTTTGTTGTCCTGTGGTCTTTGCTGATGTTCTTAGAATTTGAACTGGAAGCTGTTGAGGTTCTTAGAAGCCCTAAGGTCCCTGGATTTTAAGCTTGAGGACTCCCTGATGAGTCAAGACAGGGTTTCTCTGTGTAGCTCTGGCTGTCCTGGAACTTGCTCTGTGGACCATGGTGGCCTTGAATGCAGAGGTCTGCCTGCCTCTGCCTCCCAAGTCCTAGGTATGCACCACTACTGCTATTTTTAGTAGGCTCCATTTTTAGTCAAATTTGAGACCTTTGAACAAGTTTCCCCCAGCACTGAGGTCTAGGAACTTCAATGAAAGTACCAAAATCCAAAGTCCCAAACATGATGGGGACCCAGTAGGGAAGTGCAAAATTTTTGGTCTCTTTTGAACGCCCATTTTCCAGCTTGTTCAGTGGTCATTCCTTCCAATAAGTCTTCCCTCACCCCTCATAAGCTTTGAAAGATAGGGCTAAAGAACCCTAGAAGATTCGGAGCCGCCCTCATGGGAACCCAGCTCTTTGGCAATAGGACCCACGCAGAGCCACCTGTTCCCAGAGGTTGATGTGACTGTATCGTGGATGACAAGGAAATGAATTTCCTCTGGATACTCAGATGGTTATATGGGCCTCCAAACAGTGTCAAAGAAGCAACAGGACAGATGGTGCACACTTTTAATCCCAGCACTGGGAGACAGAGGCAAGTGGATCTCTATGAGTTCCAGGCCAACCAGGGCTACATAGTGAGACCCTGCTTAAAAACAAAACAAAGACACTGCGTTCAGCAGATCCAAGGAAAACTCTCAAAATTCAGACATTTAAGGGAGTGGGGTGGGAGGAAGGGCTAAAACACCAGTCAAATGCCTAAGTCTTTGATGTGATCCTTCTAGAAAAATGCTCCAGGCTTGGGCAAAGTAGATGCTCAATAAATGTACACATCAGAGGAGTAACTAGGAGATAATGAAAATACAGCCCTGCACAGCCCCATCCCCCAGTCTCATAAATTCTGCCTCTTATGCAAATGCATGCTGTCCTCAGAGGGCAAATGGAATTCCACCTGGAAAAGTACTAGATAGGAAAAATACCCTAACTGGGGTGGGAAGACAATGTACTAGGATGGGGAATGAAGTGGACAGAGGTAACTGTGTGAGCCCAGTGTGGTGCTGTATGCTCGTAATCCCAGCACTCGGGAACCTGGAGCAGAAGGACCTAGAGTCCAAGGCTAGCCTGGGCTACACTGCAAAATCCTATTTCAGTCCGGCAGTGGTGGCGCATGCCTTTAATCTCAGCCCTCGGGAGGCAGACGCAGGCAGATCTCTGTGAGTTCAAGGCCAGTCTGGTCTAGAAGAGCTAGTGTCAGGACAGGCTCCAAAGCAACACAGAGAAACCCTGTCTCAAAAAAAAAAAAAAGAAAGAAAGAAAGAAAGATAGATAAATAAAAAAAGAAACCAACGTCTTTCCCATTTGACAGATGAAGAAACTGAGGCCCAAGTAGACTAAATTGCTTTAAGCAGATATCACAGGATACAGGGTAGCTTTGAACCCAGGTTTAAACCCAGTTTTGCTTGTTTGCTTGCTTGTTTGGTTTTGATTACATGGCTACACAGTGTTACTTCAACCTCAGAAAAAAATACCCTAATATACAGAAAGATACAATGGCTTGCCCAAGACCACACAGCAGGGCTTGAACTCTTGCTTCGGAAACTTTCCAACTGTTCTCCTCCCCAGCTCACCTGACTGCCCCTGCCCTGGCTCACCTGCGCTCTTGCCCGAAGAGGCGCTCCACCTCTGCCCGGCCAGGGCTGCGGGTACGGCCCTCGTTGCTGCCCTGTGCCTGGGTCTCTGGCCCCCTCTGGGCCAGCCTCCTGGGCGGGGGCAGGTCAGCCAGCTTGGTGTACTCCTCCCTTTCCAGGTTGTGTCTGGTTTCCCCTGGGGGTGCTGAGCCCCGAGAACCTGAGCTACCTGGGGGAGGGGAGGGAGCCAGGAGACCTAAATCACTGGGCGGGTGACGGGGAGGAGAGGAGGCTCTGGGTGCATCCCGATAACCGATGCATACTTGGGGGGGCAGCAGTAGGGAACCATGCAGAGAGTCAATAGAAGGGGCAAGGCTCTCCATACTGGTCCCAGGAGGATCCTGGAAAAAGAGGGAAGGCTCAGGGGCCTGGCGTGGTGGGGAGGAAAAGGAGGGGGCATCTCTGTGGCCAATACATACAGGAGTGGGGATGTGGGGAGGCTCATGCAGAGAGTCTGTGGAAGGGACCAGGCTCTCTGTGCTGGCCCTGGGGAGATCCTGGAAGAAGGAGGGCTCTGGGAACTGGCGTGGTGGGGAAGAGGCCCGGGGGGCATCACGGTACCCAATGCATACTGGTGGGGGAAATTGTGGGGGATCATGCTGAGGGGACTCGTTCTCAGCATCTGACGTGTCTGGGAGGAAGGGGAAGGGATCGAACTGGGCATGACGAGGTGGTGAAGTGGCCCAGGGGGCATCACGGTGCCCAATACACACTGCAGGTGGCATGTAGGGGGGTTCGTGGTGGGGCAATTCGCTCTCAGAAGAGCGGGGATCTGGAAAAAAGGGGAAAGGGTCATGCTGAAAATAGCGAGGGGGCGAAGAGGCGCGAGGTGCATCCCTGTGCCCAATGCACACGGCGCACGGTGGCTGGAAGGGCTCTGAAGCAGTCTGGGGAGCCCCTCGTGCTGGGTGCAGAGGTGATGAAGTCCGAGAGGCACTGGGAAGGCCTGGGTTATGAGAGGAGGAGGCTAGGGATGGGGAATAGTGTTGGGGAGGGTCGTGGTGGGCTAGTTTGGTAGGAGCTGATGTCTGAGACCTGTCCACTTGGGTTGGTCGGAGAGAAATGGATGCCCAAGGCACCTGATTTTGTTTGGTGCGAGGTGGAGATGAGGTTCGAGGACCACCACTCTGGGTCGGCCGAAGGGGAAAGGAGGCCCAAGGGATATCTTTGTTGGTACGGTGGGGAGAAGGGTTCCTGGAGCTATTGCCCTGAGTGGCACGGCGGGGAGATGATGGTCCTGGGTTGTCTTTTTGGGTACAGGCACTTCGGAGATGCTCCCATCTGCTGCAGGAGGCTGTAGTCTTGTCTCCTTGGGTAGAAGGGGTCCTGGGGGTGTTCTGTGGTATGCAGGAAGTCCTGGGGTTGTCCCGCTGGGTGGTTCTGTTGGGAGAGGAGGTTCTGGGGTTGTCCCTCTGGGCACAGGGAGTCCTGGGGTTGTCCCGTTGGGTGGTTCTGTTGGGAGAAGAGCTTCTGGGGTTGTCCCTCTGGGCACAAAGAGTTCTGGGGTTGTCCCGCTGGGTGGTTCTGTTGGGAGAAGAGGTTCTGGGGTTGTCTCTCTGGGCACAGGGAGTCCTGGGGTTATCCCACTGGGTGGTTCTGTTGGGAGAAGAGCTTCTGGGATTGTCCCTCTGGGCACATAGAGTCCTGGGGTTGTCCCGCTGGGTGGTTCTGTTGGGAGAAGAGCTTCTGGGATTGTCCCTCTGGGCACATTGAGTCCTGGGGTTGTCCCGCTGGGTGGTTCTGTTGGGAGAGGAGCTTCTGGGGTTGTCACTCTGGGCACAGGGAGTCCTGGGGTTGTCCCGCTGGGTGGTTCTGTTGGGAGAGGAGCTTCTGGGATTATCCCTCTGGGCACAGGGAGTCCTGGGGTTGTCCCGCTGGGTGGTTCTGTTGGGAGATGAGGTTCTGGGGTTGTCCCTCTGGGCACAGGAAGTCCTGGGGTTGTCCCGCTGGGTGGTTCTGTTGGGAGATGAGGTTCTGGGGTTGTCCCGTTGGGTGGTTCTGTTGACAGAGGAGGCTTGGGCACAAGGAGATGATGCAATGTGGGGGCCATCTTTGGGTGTAGAGGACTTGAGGCTCTCTGAAGTGGCTCTGAGGGCAGAGGAAAGTGGAGTGCTGTTTTGCTGGGTGGACATGGTTCTGTGAATGTCCCTTTGGGAAACTCTTGAAGGAGAGGACGTTCCGGGGCTATTCCGCTGTGTGACTAAGCTCCTGGAGGTGTCTCTTTGGGTGTTATGGGATAGAGAGGGAACTTGGGAGGTTTCTGGTGCAGAAACATCCTGGAAGACATTTCTCTGAGCAGAAGCAGCCTGGGTGGTGGTCCGAGGCCCACTCAGTGGTGTCCCAGAAGAAGCCTGGGTTTGCCCTGCGCGACGTCGCTCCAAGGAGAAGTAGCTGCTTTCTGCCCGCAGCTTTGCCCAGTGCTGGCCAGCACTCTGTCCCCCACTGCCGGAATCTGGAGAGAAATGAGGAAGTTTAAGGTGAGGAGAGGGATCCAGGAAGGACAGAAAAATCAAGGCAGCCCCCAGCCTGATTCTAGTAGGTATCAGTGTCTGGTCTAAAAGACACACCCTTGCCATTCAGGCTGAGACTGAGCTTAGACACCAGTTTGCTGCCAGGCCAGGGATTCACAATCACTCATGGAAAGGTACCAGGGCAAGAAGGTCATGAATATGTCAAAGGAGACCAAAACTATGGAGAGCAACGACCCCAGAGAGGGAGAGGTAGACCAGGAGCACTTGTCTGATGACCTCGACTCCTCGCTTCTACTTCCCAGATGGGATGCCCACAAATCACCCCAACTTCTAAGGAACCCCTTTTGTGGGTGCCAGAGCATAGGGACCGTGCCTATATCTACACCTGAGGACTCTTGCTACCCCTCCTGCCCCAGAGGCTCATCCCAGACACTGGAAGTGTGCACAGCTAAGGCCGCCCTTGATGAATGGGCACCTGTGTGTCTGCACAGGGCAGAATCGGTACCTGACCGAGCTATCACATGTGACAGTTAATATTGTCAACAGGATGTACTCGCCCAGGGGACAAACCCCTGGGCATGTCTGTGAGAGAGTTTCTAGACTGGATTAATTGAAGAAGGCCTGGCCAAAATATGGGGAGCATCCTCCCATGTGCTTGGGTCCCAGAGTGGGTAAGAGGGAGAAAAGAAGCGAGGGTCAGTGAGAGGGCTCAGCGGGTGAATGTGCTGTGTCTAAGCCTGATACTGCGAGTCCGACCCCAGGACCCATGTGGTGGGGAGAACTGACTCCAGGAGGCTGTCTCCTGATCCTCACGCAAGCTCCTCGGCACATGTGCACACACATGTGTGTAAACTCACACCCACGCACGAATAAATGAACGAATCTTTGTTTGTTTTTGTTTTGTTTTTTCAAGACAGGGTTTCTCTGTAGTTTTGGAGCCTGTCCTAGAGTAGTTCACTTTGTAGACCAGGCTGGCCTTGAACTCACAGAGATCCACCTGCCTCTGCCTCCCCAGTGCTGGGATTAAAGGCGTGCGCCACCACTGTCCAGCAATACATTTTTAAAAAGAGAGGACACACAGGGGCAGGAGAGCCTGCACTGAGTGCCAGCATTCAGCTAGGCCAGTGGTTCTCAACCTATGGGTCGTGACCCCTGGAAAGTTGAATGACCCTTTCACAGGGGTCACCTAAGGTTATAGGAAAACACAGATATTTACACCACCATTCATAACAGTAACAGAATTACAGTTATGAAGTAGCAACAAAAATAATGTCATGGTTGGGGGTCACTGCATGAGGAAAGTTGAGAACCACTGCTCTAGAGGCCTCCTGACTGCAGAGCCACGGTGACCAGCCACCAAGCCTCCCCTGCCACGCTGGACTGTAGCCTTGTCTTTCTGTCCTTAAATTTCTTTTGCCAGGTATAAAGTAACTAACACTTTAGGCACCTCAAGGGCTTCACAGGGGTGCTGGCCTCAGGGGTAAATGTGCTGCCCTCAACAGTGACCATGTCACGGCTCCTGGCTGCCATAAACTGGGGGTCAACCACCACCCCTTCAATCCCTGAACCACCAGCTGTGTATGCGCCTTTCCCTCCTCTTGAAGTAGCAAGCCATGAGTGCCTTCACCAGGACATGCCTCCTTTTACATACCTCCCCTACCCCTCCAATCTTGCTACACTGGTAGCTGGTGTCCCTGAAGTCTGAACTCTCAACACTGGAGTGGCCCTGAGGCCCCCTAAGATGTCCCCTAAATCCACTTGCTTCTGTCATCTCCAGTTCACAGCCCCACACCCAAGGTCATGTCATTTTTGCTCAGATAATCCCAGTAGCTTTCCCCCAAAGCATGAATGCCCTTTTCCCAGAGTCATTGTCCCCACAACAAAGCATGGTGAGTAAGTCTGCCCTACTCACAACCCTTGAGGGGCAGGCAGGTAAGGAACAGCCAGGAACCTGTCACAGAAGGAAGGACCAGAGGAGACCAGGTGACTAAATGCCATGAGAGATCCAGCATGAAGTCCCAGGACAGAAGGGGATTTGGGCTGGTGGTGACCGTAACCTTAGCCCTAGCCTTGAGAGATGGAGGATGCAGCAGGATTGATTGCTGCAAGGTTGAGGCTGCCTAGGGCTTCAGAGTTTGAAGTCAGCCAGGGCTGCATAACAAGATCTTGTAACAAAGAAACCCAAAGGGACCATAGAAGGAAAAGCGGTAGATCTGATTAGCCTGCAGTTTACAGTTGTTTTAATGTTCTTTATGAATATGGGCCTAGGGTTTCACTGCTAGGCAAGTGCTGAGACACATCCCAGCCCCCATCCATGCTGTGTATGTATGTATGTATGTATGTATTTATTTATTTATTTATTTATTTTTGAGACAGGGTTTCTCTGCATAATAGCCCTGGCTGTCTTAGAACTCACTCTGTAGACCAGGCTGGCCTCGAACTCACAGAGTGCTGGGATAATGTTTCTTATCTCCAGCCTCTGCATGCAACTGTTCATGAAGCTAACATCCGGGGACCTGGGCAAAGAGCCCAATAGTCACTATAGCTACCATCTTGGCAAATCTAAGATTATTTCAAAACAAAAAGAAAGAAAATACCCTCTAGGGGCTTCCTGCCAGATTTGGAATGAGACCCAGGCTGTGCAGGGGTTGTTTTCTTTCTCCATCCCACCCTCGCCCACCTGCCAGGGTCCAGCACCCACTCTTTGAGGTCCTCCAACACAACACAGGATCCTCACCATCAAGGGCAATTGCTCTTGCTGCTACCTCTGTCTGGAGTGGACAGGGTTCCTCTAGTGCATCTGTTTCCTGGCCAAGGGCTGCCTTCCATGGACCTTCCTTGTGTCTATCTCCTTGATAAGCTGCTCTTCCCCTAGCAGTGCTGTGTGACAGGGCCTGGCGATCCCATAGTGCTTCTGGAACTTGCAGAGGTGAGCAGCACACAGTAGGTTTGCTGTTCACACAGTAGGTTTGCATTTCACACACACAGTATGTTTGCGGCACACAGTAGGTTTGCAGTTCACACAATTCCCCCCCCCCCTCTGGTTTTGTTTCTCCCTCGCCTAAAGTGGGCATAGTCTTTGTGCCATATACTGGCTTAGCTGTCTCCTGCCACCCCACCCATCAAGATGCCCCAGGAGCCTGTCTCACAGGATGAGGCCTCCATGCAAGACAGGCACACAGCTGTGCTTGGGTAACCTGTGTCCTATGTCCCCCTCTTCCCCAGTGAGCAGTGCCAACCAGGATGCGCCTAGCAGAGGCTCAGTCCCTGACTGCAATGCTGCAAGTGGCCACCAGGTGGACAGTGGCCACCGAGTCTGGCTAAGTAGGTCACAGGGAGGACACCACCCACTGCCTAGGGACTTTCAAGAGCCAGGAAGCAAAGCCTGGCTGTGTGGGGCCTGTCTGTAATCCCAGCACGGAGGAGGCAGAGACAAGAGGGTCAGGAATTCCAGAGCAGCTGAAGCTACAGAATCCAAAGCTCATTTGAACCAGGATCACAGGCATGTACCCCCCCACACCCAATCGGAACATTTTAGCATCAGGATTTGAAAGGGAAAGGATGAGGTGCTGTGTGCTATCCTGTCCCCAAGCATCCAATGGGGACACTGAGTGGCCTCTTGGCTGCTGCAGCATCTGCAAAGCTCCCCAGCCTCAGAGAGCCTTTTCCCTGCAGGTCGAGTGTGGTCTGAGGAACACTGTGAGCATCCTCGATCATCCTGTTGGCAGGGAACCTCTTGCCCTGGGATTCAGCATCGGCATTAGCCAGTGACAACTCCGGGCTGAACTGGGAATTACTAGGTGGCTCACCTGACTTCTCATCCTGCTGCCTCACTCTGCTCCAATGCATTCTGATTTTGCACCCAGAACCATCCCAAGCCATAGGTTTGATAACGTCACTCCTCACCCCCTGCCCTAACCGTGCTTAGAGAAATGAATTCCAACTCCTTAGCAAGGCTGAGGAGGCCCAGCAGAACCTACCCGTGTGTGTGCACCCCATCCACATTTAAACTGCAGCTGCTAATGGGCCACATAGCCCTGCCTCTTTGCCCTGCTTTCCTGTGCCAGCCCTGTACCCATCTGTGGTGGCACACATCTTTAATCCTAGCACTTAAGAGACAGAGGTAGGTGGATCTCTGTGAGTTCAAGGCCAGCCTGGTCTACAGAGTAAGTTCCAGGACAGTCTGGGCTACACAGAGAAACCCTGTCTCAAAAAGCAAAAACAAACCAAAACAAAAGATCTCTTCTCTTCCCCAATGCCTGCGTCTGTTCCTCCTCTGCTCTGGACCACTAGAGCTAGTCCCTGTCTGCCTGCTTTGCCAGATGCTGAGCTTTCTAGGGCAAGGGTCCATGCTAACTCAACCTGAGACCCCTAGCCTCTTCACCCAAACATCACATGTGTTGATGAGACTCCTGCAAGGACCATGGAAAGCCAGGACTGCCATCAGGGAAGGAGGTGGGGCTTCCGGCATTCTAGCTCCAACTCCTGACCACGCTGAAATGAGATACCTGATCAGAATTGGTGCCCACCGTACTGAACTCACATCCCAACAAGATGCCAGCCAAATTCTCCAACCTCCAGGGACTTGGCATAACAGTAGTCCCCTCCCCCATCTCTCTGTCTCTCTCTTTCTCTTTCTCAGTACAGCACTCTGACTTTCTCTGGGGACCCTCCCTTCCTCCTAGCTCAGACTATGGGGTTTGCATAGGAGGCCAAACTGGGTGATGAAGATGACCCCCAGTGGTCCCTGTGAGAACCTTCCTGAGACTGTAGTCACAGGAAAGATGTGCCCTTCTTCTGTGGGATACAGGCTGGCCTCTCTGGTGGTCAGCATGCTATTTCTAGAGAAGTATCTGACTAAGAATGGGGCCACTCCGGGCAGTGGTGGCACAGGCCTTTAATCCCAGCACTGGAGAGGCAGAGGCAGGTGAAGCTCTGGGAGTTCCAGGACAGCCAGGGCTACACAGTGAAACACTGACTCAAAACACAACAAACAAACAAACAAGAATGGAGCCACTTCAGCAGAAGTTCAGAATGGAGAGGAGATCTGGGCACTGTCTGAACACTGGTCCAGCCACACCTGAAGTCCCTTTCCATTCTATTAATGCGGGCGCCCCACTTGTGGTCAGCCAGCTTCAATCTCTTAGAATTTAGAGGCCCTAATCTTTCAACTGAGGGAAATCATCCTTAAGCTAGGCAGCATGGCACATGAAATAAGAACTTCTATTATTAAGATTTGGACCCTCAGGGCTGGAAAGACGACTCAGTGATTTGAGCACTGGCTGCTCTTCCAGAGGACCTGGGTTCAATTCCCATCACCCACACGGCAGCTCACAACTGTCTGTAACTCCAGTTCCAGGGGATCTGACACTCTCACATAGACATACATGCAGCTAAAACACCAATGAACATAAAATACAAATAAATAAATTCAAAAAGAGAGAGATCCTGCCCCTCGAAGGAAGCCGAGCCAGTAAGATGGCTGTGTGGGGGCCCCAGGCCATCACCACGTTGTGGTCATTGAGACTCACCTTCCTTTCTCTGGCCCACTGTGTCCCCTCTGGCAGGGGACTTGGTGATCCTTCGAGCACTGTCAGCTCTCAACCCCTCCTGAGGCCTCCTCGGAATCATCACGTTGAGTCTGTACGCGTTGGAGACGACCCCTGGCCTCTCAACAGTGTCCCAATCCTGCTGGGGAGGAGAAGAGGGCCCTAGGCCTGCACCCCAGCACGAAGGGTAGAAAAAGGGGTTCTTAAGGACACCTGCCACCTAAGCGGGGCTCTCAGTGGACCCTCTGTCAGCTTTGAGAAAGAGGTACGGCCATTGAAACCAAAATCTGGGCCAAAGTCACAAAAATGGAAGAAATGGGTTCAAATCCTAGGTCCACGGCTTCCCGGCTGTGTGGTCTCAAGTGAGTGACTTCCCTGCTCTTGGCCTCAGCCCCTAGCAGGGGCACAGTGGTCTGTAGCATAGAGGGTGCTGGAGAGCCTTGCTTGAGCTCAGACCCATTGAGACCTTTGCACGGCCCTCACACATGTGTGAACAGGTGAGGCTGTTTATGCGGAGCCCATTCTTGTCGTTTTCTTTTGGGGGTGGGGGTATGATCTAATAGGACAGGTCTGAAAGCGTGAAGGCGAAGGGGCAGCCTCTTGGCTCCTCTCTCCTGCCAGCTCCCAAGCCTGTTCCCTTCCCTCTGCCATTGGACCTCAACATCAGGACCGGCTATGGGCTCGTTCTCAGCAGCATGTGGCCAGGGCAGAGCTGGGTCAGCCTCACACTTGCTCTGGACACAATGCCTAATTCCCAGTCCTGAGACCTGAGCCAGCTGGTGAGTCATCCCAAGTCCCCATTGAACTGGAAAGCCTCCCTCCACCTGCCCACACTGCCACCGCCCAGCAGGAGCCCCCCCCCCCCAAGTTCTCTGTAAGAAGGAAGCTCAGCCCTCCTCTGGAGTTTAGAGCTCTTATCTCCAGGACTGAGGATACTGGCTGATCCTGTTCTTGCTCCCAGATCCTGGCCCTCAGCTCACCACAGAGGAAGAATTACTGGTCTCATGAGGGGTACTGCTGTCCTGGCTGGAGCTGGTGTCAGAGTTGGCGCCCTCGTTGTCACGGCTACTACAGGCCAGGCCCTCCAGATAGGGTAATGCCTCAGGGTCCTGGTGCCTGTTCCTTGGGGCTGTTGCAGGGCCCTCCGCAGGGAGAGCTGCTGTTGGGGACCAGCCCCTGGGAGAAGAGAGAGACCAGTTATTTTCCCCTAAGGGGTAACAGAGTCAGAGACTGAGTCCCACATACCCACTGCCCTCCCCTGTACATGTGGGCCTACTCACATGGTGCAGGGGTCTGCAGCTACAGACCAAGAAGCCAGTGCCAAGGGCATTTGGTCTGGGCTCTCTGTGGGTCACCAAGAGCTCTAGCTGCCTCCCAAGGGAGAGGGTTCCACCACATAGATGAAGAAACCCAGGATCTAAGGGGTCAAGAGCCTGGCCAAGGCCGCAGCCCTGGGAAACAGCTTGAGTGAGGAGGTGTGGGTTCACTGAGCCGGGCTGGCAGATGAGGGCTGTTTAGCAGTGTGAGGGGAAGTGAGTTCCAAGGGCAGGAGCTACAGAAATAGGGTACTTTACAGACGCAATCCCTGCGGCCCCGCTCCAGAGGCTTACAGCTCACGGCATTCCCAGAGTGGCTCACCACCAGCAAGACGTGACAACGCTAGAAAAGGGATCTCTAGCTAAGGAACCGCGGAACATCTGCACACGTCCCAACCTTCACGCCTAAAGCCTAAACCCTGCAGTGCAGGTTAGCAAATCAAATGCTCTGTCCAGTTCTGCAGGAAAGAGTCCTCGTAATTTGTCCTAGACTGTCTGAAACGCATTGGCTGTCAGAGCCCCCCTTTCCTTGTTCTTTTTCACTTAAACGCTCACCTGAGGGGAACACAAGCCCTCAAACAAGGGCTTGGTCCAGCCTCTCTTTTTCAAATGTATTTCTGCAATATTGGAAGTCAAACCCAGGATCTTAGGCATGCTGCCTGCCACAGAGCTACTTTTCTCCGGCCCTTGTTCTGCAGATGGGAAAAGTGAGACATAAAAGATGGCCTAGCAGGTCAAAGGCCCCACAGCCCATCACAGCAGATGGGAAACTGGGACCCAGCTCTCTGGACCCTCAAGCCGTGGCCTCCTAAGGTCTCATGACCCAAGCAGGGAACTTTGGGTCTGTTCAGGCCTGGACTGGAGGGAATCTCAAGCGGGGTAACAGCAGGTGCCCTGGCTGAGAGGCCCATTCAATTCAATCTTTTGGGGGACTGGGGGACAGAGTCTAGCTATGTAACCCACCGAGTTTTGAGCTCCACATCCTCTTGGGTCCACTTCCTGGGTGCTGGTACTACATCCATCTGCCACCACACCCAGCTCCTCCAATCCCTTAAAACCGTACACAGGAACCAGAAGTACATAACTGTCCCCTACCCCATGGAATTATGGGATGGTCAGGGTTACCAGGAAAGATACCCAGGGTCAGGATCAGAGACTCAGATAAAACAAGGACAGATCAATGTGAGCTTTCCAGGGTTTCCCAAGGACCCCTGAAATGCATTCACTGTCAGAGCCCTCTCTGCCCACTTTGTGGGCTGACCACGTGACCCATGCCAGCTGTTGTAGGTGGACACTGCCACCATGAAGAGTGTTGCATGTAGGGAAGGTATGGACATTCTTCCCCAAGGGAGCCGGTCCCTGGAGCCTGGGGCTTTACCCACCTCTGAGGGCCCTGCCTGAGGTCAAGGCCTTCCACAGAGTGGCCAGCACAGGTGGTAGTTCCAAGTGGGTCCTGAGGGGCCGGCGGGCAGCAGGGCAGGTCGCAGTAAGGTGCCTCGGCACTGGAAGGACTGTGAGGCTCCTGGGCCCGCATCGGAGAGAGGAGACAGCTCAGGCCCACGTGGGACTCCCCTTCCCCCTCCCCCAGACAGCCCCTCCCAGCTCAGACTGGTGGGTGTCTCCAGAAGTCATCTCCTGGGAATCTCCCTGCTCAAGGAGACCAGCCATTCCATCAGCTGGACTACCCTGGGGACTCTGGTCAGAGGCAGCAGGGTGCCTGGAGGGCACATGCACACGTGTACATGTATGAGTCTGGAGACAGGTACATATGCATGTGTGTGTATATAAACACCTGTGGTTTGGGGCACCCATGTGTATATCATTGTTGAGGGATATGTGCCCAATTGCATGTGTACAGGCCTGTCAGCTACACCAGTGCATATGTGTGTGCAAGATCATGCAAACACAAATGTACGTGTGCACGCCCGAGAATGGGAACTGCACCGAAGGCCCCAGAGCACCCTTGCATCCAGAAAGTAAGTGGGAAGGAGAAGCTTGGCCTTGTCTGAAATGGAAGAAGGGGTCTGAAGGTGGAGGGACGAGCATGATCTTCTAGCAAGATCTAGAAGAAACAAAGGGCCCTGTTCCACTACATGAGAGGCCCCAAATAGAGGGTCACAGCCCCAAACTAGAGGTGCACCCTTGGCACTGCCCACAGCAAGGCCACCCCTGGAAAGACTGATATTGGGCTCAGCCAGAAGGAACGGCTGCTCCCCTCAAAGAAGGCCCCCCCCTATTCCCTCCACCTCCCAGAATGGCAGGGCCCTCCCCTGGTGGTGGGAGACAGGGCCAGGGCACCTTGTGCCCCGCCTCCTCTCGGGTTACCTGGGCAGCGGGCTCCGGCAGTGGCAGCTGGCGGCTGTCAGCACCCTCGTTACCGGGGGGCTCCGGCTCAGGCCCCCACACTGCCGCCCTCCCAGGCCCTGACTCTGGGCCGTGGTGGCTGCAGTACTCCAGGCTGCCGAAACCTTAGAGGGGCCAGCCTCGGGAGCAGGGCCCCTCATTACTGTTTCATAAGCCGGGGCCCAGCCAAGAACAATGCAGGACATAAAACCAGAGGAACCCGATCCTGGCGGCTCACCTGAGAGCAGGCCTGGTGGGAGTCTCCCTGGGGACCCTGGAGCCCGGCGCCTGGGACAGTGGCTGTAGCCCTGGCAGCGCCCTGGGTGGGCAGAAGTGCTCTAGAATTCAAGAAAGCCACCATGAGTAAGGCCAGGCTGTGTGAAGGAAGACCTAGGGGTCTGCAGCCACATCCAGGCCAAAAAGGGCGAATTAGGATTCAGTTTCACACCTGCCCCATAGCCAGATTCTGATCAAAGCCAGGCAGCCGGAGGTGTCAGATCCACAGCCGGGCTTGGCGCCGTGGCTACCCAGGGGACAGCATGGCATGAAGGAGGGAGCCGAATCTCAACCCAACCCCGGCACTTCCAAAGGCCCCACCCAGCATGAACCCCAGGCTGACATGGCACCCTTAGCCCCATCCCTTCCCCCTGTTCACATGACCGTGTCCAGTGGTCAGTCTCTGGCTCTGATTTCCTGCCTAGTCAGTGTCGTAGTCTCTGCCTATGACAGACCTGAGTCCCACCCCAGCTGGATGACCTCACTCAGTGGCTTTCCCTGCTCTGGGCCTAACTATCTATGAAAAGGAGGTGTGTGACCAAGACCTTGGCTAGGTGACTTGGCCTCAATTGCCTTACCTATCAAACGGTCATGATAACCACATCCGCCCCCTAGGGGACATGAGGAGAATTACATGACGTGACATAAGGTCAAAAAAAAGAGAGAACGTTAAGTACAATCTTATAAATGTTAAATTAGTAGAATAATATTAAATACAATTAAGAACACATAAGTTATCCAGAACTAGTGATGTACACTTGCAATTGCAGCACAAAGATGGGAGGACTGTGAGTTCAAGGCCAGCCTGGGCTATGTAGAGACACTCTGTCTGAAGAGGGTGGGGGAGTGCTGAGGATAGCAAATAAATTATAAAGATCTGTGTAGTTCTCCCACCCAAACTATCCCCCCCTCTCCAAACCTGGCCCTAGCCTGCTCAATACCACGTGACTTCAAGGGCTCAACTTCCACCAGCCTCCCAGTCTGTGGACTCAGGTGTGTCTGGAGCCCTGGGGGTTCAGAAGCTGGGGATGCCAAGAAACTAATCATTTCCACTTTGTGACCAGAGCCATTTCTACATATCCTAGAACAGCTGAAGGCATGAGCCGGGAAGCCTAGGCCATCTCCTGTGGCAGATGTGGTGGGGACCTAGCTAGGGGCGGCACTACCCCCACTCGGGCCGGTGAGGCTTTTAAATATAGACCTCTTTGTGCTCCATGTGTCTGGATTGAAAGGTAGAAGCAAATGGGGCCAAGATTTCAGAGTCTTTTGGGGCAAGGTGGGGCACTGGCTGCCTCTGGTTCCTTGGAGATGCGCTGTAATAACGATCTGGAGAGATAGCAGGCAGCGTAGACAGAGCGAGTGGGGATAGCGGGCACCCCACAGCCGCACTTGGGTGGGCAGATGCCGGCTCCCTGGGAAGCAGTAGAGATTCTCCATCCTCAGAGCATCACGGAATGGGGTTCAGGGAGGCAGCCAGAAAGGTCCAGAAGAGGTGATTGATAAGCGTCAGATAAAAACCTGGCTTGTTAGCAGAGCGGAGTGGCACACGCCTTGAACCCAGCACTCGGGAGGCAGAGGAAGATCTCTGAGTTCGAGGTCAGCCTGGTCTATAGAATGAGTTCCAGAACAGCCTGGGCTCTACAGAGAAACCATGTCTCAAACAAACAAACAAAACCCAACAACAACAAAAATCCCACTAAAAAACAAAACCTTGACTTGTTTTATGTAACATTGGGAACGCAAGTCATGGACTCAATCGTTTATGTTAGGAAAGTGTCCTACTTCTGAGTTACATCCCTATACTAAGGTTAGGTGTGTGTGTGTGTGTGTGTGTGTGTGTGTATGTGTGTGTGTTAGGTACACATGAACATATGTGCACATGGAGACTGGGAATTGACACCGCACAGGTGTCCTTCCTCTATCATTTTTTACCTTTTATTTATTTATTGAAGCAAAGTCTCTGTAGCCTTGGCTGGCTTGAAACTCACTCTGTAGCCCAGGCTGGACTTGAATTCTTCAAAAAGATCCACCTGCCTCTGCCTCCCATGTTCTGAGATTTAAAGGTGTGCACCACCAGCTTTAAAACTTATTTTATGTCTGTGTGTGTGGTTGCTGTGTACACGTATGTCCACGCATGTGGTGTGCACAGAGGTCAGAAAAGGTGTTGGATTCTCTGGAACTTGGGTCACAGCTTGTTCTGAGCCTCCATGTGGGTCCTGAGAACCGAGTCCTCTGCAAGAGCAGCAAAACGCTCTTATACACTGAGCCTCACCTGCAGTTCCCACCGCTCTATTCCTTCTTCAGGGGGCGGGGGATCTAGGGTTTCTCTGTGCAAAACAAACAGACCTAAAGTCTCTCATCGCCTACTCCTCAGTCAGCCCTGGCTGTCGCGGCACTAGCACTCACTCTGTAGACCAGTCTGGCCTCAAACTCACAGAGATCCTCCCGCCTCTGCCCCCCCCCCAAGTGCTGGGAAGAGAGGTACCTGACTCCACCACCCAGCTACACCCAGCTTTTTTTTTTTTAGATTTAGTTATTTATATGCATACAATGTTCTTCCTGCATGTACATCTGCCTGCCAGAAGAGGGCAGCAGATCTCATTACGGATGGTTGTGAGCCACCGTGTAGTTGCAGGGTATTGAACTCAGGATCTGTGGAAGAGCAGCCACTGCTTTTTATGTAGGTGCTTGGAATAGAACTTAGGTCCTCATGCTTGCTGGTGGAATAGGAGTTGGTAAGACTGGGGATGGAGAGGTGAAGCCCGTGGCTAAGGGATGAGGTTGCTCAGGCACAGTGAGTGTGAGCATCCAGAGGACACAGCGGAGATGATCCAGAGCTGCAGCTCAGTGGCTGGACCACAGCAGAAACAGGGGCTTGGGGCTCTGGCAGCACGAAGTAGCCTGCGTTCACAGAGCACTGGGGAGTGAGAAAAGGCTCTAGATGGAGGCTGGAATCACTGTGCCTTTGGGTGCTGCTGGCAAAGGGGTTTTTGTGTGTTTTTTTTTTTTTAATTTTCAAAACAGGGTATCTCTGTGCAACCCTGACTGTACTTGCTCTGTAGACCAGGCTAGCCTCAGACTCACAGAGATCCACCTGCCTCGGCTTCCTGAGCGTTGGGATTAAAGGCATGCGCCACCTCTGCCCGGCTTGGGGCTGGATCTCAGAGCATCACGTTCTAGGCCAAGGGAGATCTTCATTGAGCCAGCTCTTTGCCAGCACCAGCAGCTGTCCAGCCCTCAGTCAGCCTTTAAAATACTTACATTGTTCTACACATGGGTGCGTGCACCTGGGTGTATAGATGCACACTGCCCTACGCAGGTGCCTATGGAGGCCAGAAGAGGGCACTAGATTCCCTGGAATGGAGATCCAGGTAGTTGTAAGCTACCTGACCTGTGGCCGGGGAACCAAACCTCAGCTGCAAGGGCAGCAAGCGCTCTTAATGGCTGACCCATTTCTCAGCACCTGCTTCTTCTTTGTTTTTGTTTTTGATTTTCAAGACAGGGTTTCTCTGTGTAGTCCTGACTGTCCTGGAACTTGCTCTGTAGACCAGGTTAGCTTCAAACTCATAGAGATGCATCTGCCTGGCTTTGTCTCCTGAGTGCTGGGGATTAAAGGCTTGTGCCTGCCACCAACACCTGGCTCCCAGCTTCTTTAAATGTGTGTGTGTGTGTGTGTGTGTGTGTGTATGTGTGCGCGCGCCCGCATGCACGCATGTATCTAAGACAGAAGCAAATTGCAAGGGTCAGTTCTCACCTCTTACCACGTGGGCCCAGGGACTGAACTCAGATCATCAGAACTGGCAGAATCCCTTACTTATTGAGCTACTTTGCTGGCCACCAGTTTTTAATTTCAAGTAACAGGAGGCAGAGGTGGCCCGGAAGATGGAGGCGAGCAGCCGGAGGGCTGGAGACGTGCTCCCCTGTGGGCCCTCCTTCCCAGGAGGTTAGGGGGATTCTTCACTGGAGTCAGACCCCATTGGCTTCAGTGGCGACCCAGCTAACCTCAGTGATAACTGCTCAGCTCTGAAGGTACAGGAAGGTCACTGAGGAAGCCCTGGCACCCAAATTCAGGAAGGACACAAGTTTCTGTGCAGGGGACATGGTAGTAAAAACTGACTCTGACTCTGGGGGCTGGACAGTCCTTTGCCCTCGTCCCAAGGCTACCATCATCTCTGGAGGAAGCAGTTCCACCCCTGTCCCCGCTCCCTTCTCTCCCGCCACCCCACACTTTGCCAGCATCACAGCAACAGAGAGAATGAAGACTGGATCACCTTAGTCTCTTGTTTAAATCACGACAACTGAAATGCAATCTAAGCTCCTCAAAGTGTCCACAAAACCAAAGCACACAGGCTGGAGAGACGACTCAGACATTAAGAGCACTTACTGCTCTTCCTGAGGACCTTAGTTCAATTCCCAGCAACCACATGGTGGCTCACAACCATCTGTAGTGAGATCGGATGCCCTCTTCTGTGTACAGATGCACAAGTAGGTAGCGTACTCGTATACATAAAATAAATAAATCTTAAAAGAAGTAAAACAAACAAACAAACAAAGCCAGAGGAAGCCAAGCCCCAACTAGTTCTCCATCCTGTATCTCTGTGACTCTCCCTCTCCTCAGCCCTCTGATGCGCTTCATCCTTTCTGTCTTAAAACCTTTGTACATGCCACACCATTCCTTTCCCTTTCCATTTCTCCCTAGCGCCAGTGGCAAGCCTTCATCCTTCACCAAGCCGCTGTAAGTCCTCCCCATGGCCTAACAACCCCTGTTCCTTCAGAGCATGGATCACAGGCATGGTGAAACAGCCATTTCTGTGGTTCCTTTCTTCCTGCCCATGGTTTTGATTAGACCACCAGTCCCCTGGAGCAGGGATGTGACAGCCTCGTTTAACATCACTGCCATAGCAACCAGTGCAACCCTGGCTCAAATCAAGCAACTGTTCATTCCAAACGACTGCACAAGCTGACCCGAAATCTTGGCTGGGAAATGGTGGGACCGAGGCTTTATGTCAGATCTGACTGAGTCCATCAGCCTCTGGTCCATGTTTCCATCTCCCTTCAGCTGGGAGAAGATCGTTTGCATAGTGGCCCTGCTCGGGTAGGAAGGACTCAATCATCTGTGTAAGAGTTCAAAGTTACCGAAAGCAGATTCAATGCAATGCCCATCAAAATCCCAGCAAAATTCTTCAAAGACCTCGAAAGAATGGTACTCAACTTCATATGAGAAAGCAAAAAACCCAGGATAGCCAAAACAATCCTGTACAATAAAAGAATTTCTGGAGGCATCACAATCCCTGACTTCAAACTCTACTACAGAGCTACAGTACTGAAAACAGCCTGGTATTGGCATAAGAACAGACATGAGGACCAATGGAACCAAATAGAAGACCCAGATATCAGTCCACACATCTTCAAACGCCTGATTTTTGACAAGGAAAAAAATCAAATGGAAAAAAAGAAAGCATATTTAACAAGTGGTGCTGGCATAACTGGATATCAACATGTAGAAAAATGAAAATAGACCCATATCTATCACCATGCACAAAACTCAAGTCCAAATGGATCAAAGCCCTCAACATAAAGCCAGCCACACTGAACCTTACAGAAGAGAAAGTGGGAAGTGCACTTGAAAACATTGGCACAGGGAACCACTTCCTAAATAGAACCCCGCAGCACAGACACTGAGAGAAACAATTAATAAATGGGACCTCCTGAAACTGCAAAGCTTCTGTAAAAAAAAGGACACGGTCAACAAGACAAAACGACAGCCTACAGAATGGGAAAAGATCTTCACTAACCCCACATCAGACAGAGGTCTGATCTCCAAAATATACAAAGAACTCAAGAAATTGGTCATCAAAAGAACAAATAATACAATTTTAAAAAATGGAGTACAGACCTAAACAGAGAACTCTCAACAAAAGAATCTAAAATGGCTGAAAGACACTTAAGGAAATGTTCAACATCCTTAGTCATCAGAGAAATGCAAATCAAAACAACTCTGAGATTCCATCTTACACCTGTAAGAATGGCCAAAATCAAAAACACTGATGACAACTTATGCTGGAGAGGTTGTGGGGAAAAGGGAACACTTCTGCATTACTGGTGGGAATGCAAGCTGGTACAACCCCTGTGAATGTCAGTGTGGCCATTTCTCAGAAAATTAGGAAACAACCTTCTTCAAGACCCAATAATACCACTTTTGGGTAGATAGCCAAAGGATGCTCAACCGTGCCACAAGAACATGTGCTCAACTATGTTCATAGCAGCTTTGTTTGTCATAGCCAGAACCTGGAAACAACCTAAATGCCCCTCGATTGAAGAATGAATAAGGAAAGTGTGGTACATTTACACAATGGAAAGATCTCCTGAGTAAATTGGGAGCATGGGGACCTTAGGAGAAGGTTGAAGGGGAGGGGAGAGGTAGGGAGGGAAACAGAGAAAAAATGTAGAGCTCAACAAAAATCAAAAAATTTTTTAAAAAATTGAGGTCAGCTTGGTCTACAAAGCAAGTTCCAGGACACCCGGGGCTACACACACACACACACACACACAAAACCAACCAAACAAACAAACAAACAAAACCCTGTCCTTTTTTTTTTTTTTTTAATAAGTCATACATGGTGGTGCATGCCTTTAATCCCAGTATTCAGGGGTCTGAAATCTCTGAATTAAAGGATATCCTAGCCTCCATGGTGAATTCCAGGGCAGTCAAGGTTACACAATAAGACCTTGTCTCAAAAAAAGGAGGGGGGCTGAAGAGATGACTCAGAAGTTAAGAGCCTGCTTTTCCAGGGGTCCTGAGTTCAATTCCCAGCAATCACACGGTAGCTCACAACCATCTGTAATGGGATCTGATGACCTCCTTTGTCCGATGCTCTCTTCTGTCATGCAGGGATACAGGCGAATAGAGCGCTCATATACATAAAAATAAACAGATACATAAATATAAGACCTCTGGAAAGTGGATAAAGTGTAGGCAACAAAATCCTCCTTCTGATGCAAGTTTGTGGCCCAACCCATCACTGACCCCACATTCCAAACCACCCTACAACGGAAAGCCAGCCTACCTGCTCTCTTGCTCCATGAACCTTCTCAGGGTGGCAGCAGCTCAGACAGCGGTTCTTGGGAGATATGCTGGCTTCAAAATGTACACTGGGGACATTCATAGCCACTTCCTCCATAGCAGGGGAGTCACACCAGGCAGCTCCTGTGAACCAGTGGCTGACTCTCTAGGTGGGGCCTGCAAAGGATTTGGGAACAAGAACCTAATAACTGGTGGCCACTGTGTAGACCTATGTCTCATTTGTCCAAGCCAGGCAAAGCTGTCATCCATTTTTCTGTTCGTGTGTTCATCGACAGTCACAACTAAGTTTCCAAACATACTGTCAAGCATTTACATATGATTTCTAAGCCATATATATATATATAGTTGGTCAAGGTTCCAAGGATCCTGAATTGCACTCTACTGCTCATAAAAATGCAAGTTTCCTCGAGGGGGGAAAAAAAAAACAGTTTGACAAAGTCGGGCATTGGTGGTACACACCCCTTTGATCCCAGCACTGGAGAGGCAGGGACAGTCGGATATCTGTGAGTTCAAAGCCAGCCTGGTCTACAAATCAAGTTCCAGTACAGCCAAGGCTACACAGAGAAACTCTGTCTGGAAAAACAGATAAACCAAACCAAATCAACAATAAAGGCAAGTTTCCGGCCATATGTGGTGATGTGCACCCCGATCCCAGCTACACAGAACAGTGAGGCAGGAGGATCCTGTGAGTGCAAGTTTGGGATCAGTGTAGACAACATATATAGTCTCCATCTCTTGAAAAAAAAAAAAAACAAAAACAAACAAACCCAAAGAGCTGCAACAAAGTGAGGATCTGCATCTGAACACTCAGAACCCAAGTAAGATGTTCTTTACAATGGAGGGGGGGGGTGTTCCTCGTGCTCACTGGCAAGCTGGTCTAGCTGAATCATTCAGCTCCAGGCTTGGTGAGACCTCATCTCCAAAAATTAGGTAGACAGTGACTGAAAAAGAAACCTAGCATCACCCATCAGCCAGTGGTGGCACGCGTGTTTAATCCCAGCACTCAGGAGGCAGAGGCAAGTGGGTCTCTGAGTTGGAGGCCACCCTCGTCTATAGCACAAGTTCAAGAACATCTAGGGCTACACAGAGAAACCCTGTATTGAAAAACAAAAAAGGGGGGCTGGAGAGATGACTCAGAGGTTAAGAGCACTGGCTGCTCTTCCAGCGGTCCAGAGGTCTTGAGTTTAAATCCCAGCAACCACATGGTGGCTCATAACCATCTGTGACGAGACCTCTGTGACGAGTCATACAAACAGACCGAACACTGTATACATAATAAATAAACAAATCTCAAAAAAAGGAAAGAAAAGAAATCCCAGCATTATCATACAAACAGACCGAACACTGTATACATAATAAATAAACAAATCTCAAAAAAAAGGAAAGAAAAGAAATCCCAGCATTATCCTCTTCCCTCCACATGTCTCACATACATATGCACACACATATGTACACAAACATGTAGACACCTGCACACCCAACAAATAAAGAAGCCAACAACAAAACCCTCATAAGTCTGTTTTCTCTGCTGCTCTATCCAATCAGAATCTCCAGCGCTGAGTCCCGGGGTACAACATAAAAGAGAATCCCTAACTCATCCCAAAGTCTCTAACTTTGTAAATTGAGAGATCCCCTCTTATTCTGCTAAAGTTAATGCCAGTTTCAGGAGTGCAATCAAGGCTCTGAGAGGTTCCCTGACACTCAAGTGGCGCTGGTCCAGCTGGAGGCCATGGTCTGTCTTCAAAGGCTCAGAGGTGACCGTGAGGGTACTGGATCACACTGCCAAGTCCCCCAGGTCCCTTGGCAAACACAGAGTGATATAAAGGGCTGGCCAGGTATTTTCAGACTTGAGGACAAATCTTAGACAGCCACCTAAGGTCACAAAGCACATATGTGACTGCGCTTAGCCGAAAAGGAACCACTGGCATCTCCCCACACACACCTCCCCCCACCCCAGATCTGAAGATCAAACCCAAGCCCTGGCAGGTGTTAGACAACTGCTCTACCACTGAGCTACACCTCCATCCTAGCTGGGGCTCTTAAACCAAGTCCAGTCCTCTCTGTTCTAGAGGCTACAGTGTCCACACCCAGGAAGTGACTCTGGGTCAGGAGACTGATACAGCCTGGAAGGATATTGGAAGGGAGGGTATCCAGCATCCCCCAAAGCCCAAGTACCTCTGGGCACCGTGGGGTCACGTCATACCTGACCTACTTGGTGACGACAGAGTTCCCAGGAGATCAAACCTTTGTTGCCAATCTCAGCTGAGTTGAGGAATTTTGGGTCCTCCCCTGGGGCTCCAGGTTCTTCCTTTGGAGAGTGGAACCCCCACAGGAAGATCCACGGGGCTTGGTTTCCTCCCTGGGCGACCATCTATCTGCACTACTTAGTTCCTATATTGTATGGTGGAAGGATAGATATGCCCCACCTACCAGGGCTGTTCTTTCCTGGTTCAACCACCAAGTGGAGCATCGTCTTGGAAGGAGAACGAGGCTCCTTTTCCAGGGGTCTAGACAAGGACTCTTCGTGTGCTCTTTGTGACTCCAGTTTCCTCCACGAATCTTCCCTAAAATGCACATTAAATGGTAAGGATGTAACCACAAAAAGCCGTCGCGCATTCTGAACACACGGTCCGGAGAATGGACCCTTAGTCCCCTCTTCCAGTAGCCGGTCTGGCAGCTCCTCAGGGTCCCTCAAACTCCCTCCCCTGATTTCCCCCTTCGGCCCTGGCCCTCTAGGTTCCGCTAGCGGCGGGTTTCTGACCTGGGCTCGGATTTCCACTTACCGGGCGGTGGAGGTGCTAGTGCCAGGGTCACAGCCTCTATTTTAACAATGAATCAAAACGTTGCCCGGGAGGTGCGCATAAGACCACACCCTTGCCGCGCTCCAATAGGCTCGCCCTCAGAGCCTTATTTGCATGATCAGTGTGGGATTGGACACAGCGAGGACTGGGGGCAGGGCGGAGGAGGGCGGTGCCCAGGCGCCTTGGAGCGCGGGATGCACAGCACGTTTTGCCTGCGCTACCCGCAACCTTGTCCAGTTGGGTTCCCCTGGGACCTGAGTGCTGTTGCTGGCCCTGTGGCCTCTTATCTCTTTCCCATTGGCTCGTTCTGGCTAAGGTCTTCAAAAGGACACTAATGCATACGTGGAAAGTAGAAAGTGTGGCTAGCTGGGGGTGGTGCCACAAACTAAACTTGTCACCTAACTCTTTAAAGTCTTAAGCAGGAGGATGGATGCCCACAGTTCGATGGGCCTGGCTGCAAGAATGAGACACTTCCTGAAAGTAAAACCAGAGGCTGGGGGCTGGAGAAATGGCTCAGTGGTTAAGAGCACTGACTGCTCTTCCAGAGGTCCTGAGTTCAATTCCCAGCAACCACATGGTGGCTCACAGCCATCTATCATGAGACCCGGCGCCCCCTTCTGGCCTGCGGGCACACATGGAAGAAATGCTGTACACATAATAAATAAATAAATTTAAAAAAAGTTAAAAAAAAAACAAACAAAAAACAGAGGCTGGTGACCTACATCTGAAAGTCCTGCAGTCGGGAGGTGGAGACAGTAGAGCAGTGATCTGGTAGTGAAGGCAAGATCAGGAGGTGGACCTGGTGGTGCCTTTAATTCCAGCACTAGGGAGGCAGAGGCAGGTGGATCTCTGTGAGTTAGCGGCCAGCCTGGTCTACAGAGTGAGTTCCAGGACAGGCTTCAAAGCTACAGAGAAACCCTGTCTTGAAAAAAGAAAAGAAGGGAGAGAGGGAGAAAGGGAGAGAAGGAGGGAGGGAGGGAAGGGGGAGGAGAGAGGGAAGGAGGGGGGGAGAGGGAAGAAAAGATCAGGAGGTCAAGGCCAGATTTGGCTACAGAATCAGTTGGAGGCTTGGTCTACAGGAGACCCTGTCAAACAAAAGCAAAAACACAAAAACTGAAACCAACTAACAAAGTGAAATGTACAGCCCTACCCCAGCTTACTCGAATTCACAGAGATCTGCCTCCCTTTGCCTCCCAAGTGCTGGGATTAAAGGCGTGAGCCACCACCGCCCAGCCCTGACCCAGCTTTTAAGCTCTACTGTGCACTGGTTACACACCAGCTCCTAAGCCAGTCCTTTACATATAGCAACAAAGATCAGAGATGTCAGCTGACTTGCCAGGGTCACCCGGCTAATAAAGAGCAGAATCAGGACAAAAATCTTGGGATGTCTGACTCTGCAGACCACTGTGGGGCATCCTCATTCGCTCATTTGCCCGTGTCTGGTGAAGTGCTCAGAAAGGAAAGCATGAATAAACGGTGGCTTCTTCCCAAGTGAGGGCAGAAGTGAGACCAGGAACAAGCCGTCCTGGCCCAGCACGGAGCTGGCTGACAAGCACAGTGGGCTTCCTCCGTGGCCTGGCTAGCTGTAAGAAAGACGGGCTAGTGAGATCTGGGTTCAGGGTCAGCCTTTTAGTGCTTCTTGGCTGGGTGACCTTGAGACAGTTACAGTTACTTGACCTCTCTGAGCCTGGGGTGGAATGGGTATTTCTGAGTTGGAACTGAGCAAGGTCCCAGCCCTCTGGCCCTACAAGGCAATGCAACCTAGAGACGACTGAGGCGGATGAGCCTGACAACCCAGCCATGAAACATTTATGGAGCCCTTTGTCAGTTAAGATTGCTGAGGGTTCATCAAAGAACAAGAGACCCGTGCACTGCTTTTGTGTGTCTGTATGGTGGAGGAAAACTGACCCAGGCAAGAGAAACAAGCAAAGCATGACTGGGCTGACTGGTGCTCAGGAGAAAAGAGAGCAGGGCAGAGAGAGGCACGCGAGGCCTGGGCAGTGTGTTTCCAAGAAGGTCGTCAGCGAGGTCTTAGAGAAGTGGCTCGTGCACCTCAGCAAAGACCCAGAAGTGTCAGTTTTTTTCTTTTAAGCTTCTCCAAAGTATGCAGGCTCCCTTGGTTGAGATGCTAGTAACCTAATCACTTAGGGTATCATTTTTAAGACTATTTATTTATTCTTCTTTTATGTGCATTGGTGTTTTGCCTGCATTTGTCTGTGTGAGGCTGTCAGTTCCCCTGGAACTGGAGTTATACACAGCTGTGAGCTGCCATGTGGGTGCTGGGAATTGAACCTGGGTCCTCTAGAAGAGCAGACAGTGCTCTTAACTGCCGAGCCATCTCTCCAGCCCCTTGTCAGGGTATTTTATCACAGCAACAGATGACACTAAGCCACACTCTACCTGGCTCATTACTTCACTGGGCATTTGCTTGGCTCACGGCCCTAGCTGAGACCCCTCAGTGAGCTGGAGAGTGCTATGACTTCTGTTCTAGCCCAGAACCTATCTTCACCCGGCCAGGGGAAGGAGCACCCAGCCCTCTTCCTCCCATGGACAATGGAGGGCCAGAGCCTGGGTGGGCAAGGTAGAGGCCCTGACAGAGGGGAGCAGGATGGATGACTGCCCTGGGGTCATCAGAGCTGCAGCCAGGGCTGTTCTTGAGGACCACACACAGCCAGGCTTGTTTTCACCTGTTTACTTGCACAGGAAAACAGAGTTAAAATTAAACACTGAGGCCGGGCTGTGGTGGCACACGCCTTTAATCCCAGCACTTGGGAGGCAGAGGCAGGCAGATCTCTGTGAGTTGGAGACCAGCCTGGTCTACAAGAGCTAGTTCCAGGACAGGCTCCAAAACCACAAAGAAACCCTGTCTCGAAAAACCAAAAAAAAAATAAAATAAAATAAACACTGATTGTGGCTCACAGGTACAGTCCAAGGAATGGTGGCACAATCAGACTGTGGTGATGGAAGCTCGCTTCTATCCAAGGGAACGCAAGTGTTGCTATGACGCCAAGTTGACTCTAAGCTGGAGGCCTCTCCTGTGCCGTCTCTGAATCGGTGAACCACAGCATATTTTCACTGCCTTGTGAGGGCTCAAGTTCTCTCCAGGAAAGCTGGCTCTGTCTCCCCCACCCGGAGCAAGAGGGAGCAAGAGCGCTCAGCTGAGATCCTGGGCAGGGCTGTCTTTCACCTCAGCAACCCCTGAATGGCCCCCTCTGGAGGCGAGGCCCCGAACCTTGGCCGGTTTCTTTGGGTACGGTCAGCCAGCTTGGTGACTTGGTCTTTGCCACTGACATTGGAGTTACCACCTCTCCTGGGTGCCCTCCTTGGAGTGCTCACCACAGGTTCATGGCACTTGAGCTGCCTGGCTTGCGGCTTATCTGCAGTGTCCTGAACCTGGCTAGCGGCCTGAAAATCCTTGGAGAGTTTAGGCCTGCAGGGGGAGGCCCTCCCTTCTCTCCCGGTTCATCCAGGGTTTGTTTCAGATCTGTCTGCACACACCCTCACTGCCACCAGGGGGCCTCGCTAACATACAAAGACCAGACTCTGGTTCCATTCCGCCTGGGTATGGGCTTCCTCCCCCCTAACTTACAACCCCTTGCTCTCCAGGGACCTTGAACTGCACAACCTTCTCTCCTGTTGCCCAGTTCTGGAAGAGCCTCTCCAAATACGTGAAGGGACTTCTCTGATCAGATGCCCGTGTCCTGCTCTTGATGCCTCGGCCGGCCGGCCGCCTCCCTGGACTGAGTCACTGCCCATTGTTTTCCCACTCTGTGCTGCTGGACAGCCTCCCGACTCTTCCTGTGTCCCAATCCTTCTTTCCTCTGCTAGCAGACCAACCCCTAGTCCTATGGGCACTTGCCTTCCTAAAACAGCTCCTCCCAGCAGGGAGCGTCCTCCTCCCCACCCCACACCCCTGGCCTTTGCCTTCTATTTAGCCAGCAGAACACAGCAAGTGTGTAGGCCTTTTAAAAGGATAATTATGTCCTTCTTCATCGCTTTCTCTTCCCTGCTAGCTGAAATGCATCTATCTTGGGCTGTGAGGCAAAGTTATTAAAAAAAGAAAGGAAGAAAGAAAGAAAGAAAGAAACAAAGAAAAATAAAAGGAAAATCTAAAAGCCTGCCACCCCAGCTTCTAGCCTTCCCAGCTCCGGGCTGGTAACTTTCTTCTTGTCAGCCTGAGAGTCCTTACTACACGATGATCCAGCTGTGAGCTTTTGATGTGTGGAGCTGAACTTCACTGTCCTAAAGCTACATAGCCCAAGCTGGCCTAGAACTTGGGGTCTCCCACCTAGGCCTCTTGAGCTGCAGGAACTGCAAACGTGGCCTCATGACGTCATCATTCCTTTTCTTGTGTTTGACAAGATAGAGACACGCTGTGAGCTGTGAGGGGTGAGCCAGTGTGATGTAGAGAATCCTGTACTCCTCACACTCGAGCCTCAGGGCAGCCTGAAGGAGGTTCACACAGGGAAACACCCAGCAGGACAGCGCTGCTTGAGGCTCACATGGGGAGCAAATCCCGGCAGCTCCTGGCTTGTTGTTCTGCTCAGTGGTCTAGAGGATGAGGCCCAGGCCTATGGTAAAGTTACCCCTCCCAAAGCAGAGAGGGCAGGGAAGGAGGGAAGGGGCTGAGTCCCAGGAAAGGCCCTGCCTGAGCTGAGCTTTCCATCCCTGAATGTGGCCTCTGACTCAAGTCCTCAGTCTTCAGATACCACCTGGTACACCTGGTAGCTAGCCCAAGATGGCACAGAACTCCCCATGTAGCTAAAGATGACTGTGGATTGAGTCTCCTGCCTCAGCCTCCTTGGTGCGGTATTACTGTACACAACCACAGCCGGCCACAGCTCTGGAGTCTACATGGAACACGCTGGTCTCCAGCTATGACTAGGGGACCCAGATATGACAGGATCTTGTAATAGCCTCAGGAAAACCTCGAGGTGGAAGGTGGACCCCTGGCCATTCCCACCGCCCCAGAAGGCAAAGCCAGGACAAACCACAAGCACACCGTGAGGAGTTTCAAGGACTGCTGAGGCCCAGGTGATGTACATTAGTGAGGAGGCCCTGGCAGTGCTCTGCAGGCTCCAGGACCTGGGCTCTAGGAAGTCCATTCCTTCTGGGCTCAACCCCAGGATGGTCCCCAAGCAGGGACAGCCCCAGGCTGGAGAAGTCCTGCTTTCCAGGCTTAGGCTGTAGTTCCTCCTCAACACAGCTGGCTTACAGGGACAGCCAGGGACTTCGGCTGGGGACCCGCAGGCTTCTCGAGCGCTCACTCCCCGCTGTGCCTGGCTTTTCCAGTCATCCGGCGGCGCTGGGTCTTGCTGGTACGAGTGGCACTAGGAGGTTTCTTGGCGGAGTCCTGGGCCCGCCGAGGGTGTTTCCTTTTGACCTTTTTCCGGCCATGCGCGTGCAGCGTGGCTGTGAGGGAGGAGATGCTACGGGGGAAGTGGAGGCTGGTGAGGCCAGCGTCTGGGACAAGCTCCCCACACATCTCAAACTCTGCTGGTTTGGCTCCACAGAGCCAGGCAGACCCCGCCCCTGCCCCCACAACCCCTCTGGCTAGGGTATAGGGTAGTTCCACACATCTAGCCACTAGTGCAAATAGGAATGGGACCAGAAACTACAGGCCAGAGCTCACCGCTGGGATAGCAAGGGATCTTTGGACTTCTTGGGCAAGGCTTTAGTTGGCTTCTCCGTTGATGGCGCCTCCTCCTGGTCCCCTTGCTAGAGAAACAAAGGATAGGGACTGTTATAGGGAGTGGACCAGCAAACCGAGCAGTCCTGACTTCAGAAGTCTGAGCAGGGCCCAGAGAAGGCTCTGGGTAGTGCACTGTGGATGGCTCAACAGTCAACTTGACACACCCTAAAGTCATCTGGGAGATCCTCAGTTGAGAAACTGCCTATATCAAGTTGGTCTATGGACAAGCCCAAGCCTACACAGGGTGGTATCATTCCTTAGGCAGGTGGTCCTGGGCTGTATAGAAAAGCTAGCTAAGCTGAGCTAGTGAGTGTGTCTGAGTGAGCGAGCAGGATTCCTCCACAGTTTCTACCTCAGGTTCCTGTGTTGAGTTTCTGACCTCACTTCCTTCTATGATGACCTGTGATGTGGAAGTACAAGATGAAGAAACCCTTCCCTCCCTTAAGTTGTCTTGGTTATCGTGTTTGTCACACTGGCAGAAAAGAAACTAGGACACTATCTGAGAACCAGAACGACAAAGGACAGCCTGCATCCAAGCATTCACCAACAGCGAAATCCGCGCAATGACAACAAGACTCTGGGTCAGGCTTTAAAGGACGTGCATGAAGTCAGGCCGCAGCTTTCCAGGATGGAGACACTTCAACTCAGAGAACGAACTTCTCTTTGAGACAGGCCCCAGCTGAGCTCGAACTAATGATCCTCCTGCCTTCACCCCCTTGTGTGCTTCCACACCTGGGCCTCAGCAATGGGTGGGATTTTGCTCTGTTGTTTTTGTATCCTGGTGACTAGACCTAGGGTCTCACATTCTGGGCAGGCTGCATCCTCAGCCCAGAAATGCACTTTATACTGAGCTCTCTGGTAAGTTGGAGTTGACCAGCTGCACAATGAAAAGAAATAAAACATCTGGAAGGAAACACAGTGTCTGTGCTGAGACCAGATTTCTTGTCTTTTTTTCTTTTTGTTTTAATTTTTTTTTTTTTTTTTTTTTGTTTTTTCGAGACAGGGTTTCTCTGTGGCTTTGGAGCCTGTCCTGGCACTAGCTCTTGTAGACCAGGCTGGTCTCGAACTCACAGAGATCCGCCTGCCTCTGCCTCCCGAGTGCTGGGATTAAAGGCGTGCGCCACCATCTCCCGGCTTTGTTTTAATTTTTAAAGCCATTTATGTGTATAAATATATTGCTTGCACGTATATCTGTACAGCAAAGGCACACCTGGGTCCTTGCAGAGGTCAGAAGGTGTCACATCCCTTGGAAATGGAGTAATAGATGGTTGTGAGCCATCATGTGGGTACTAGGAATTGAAGCTGGGGCTTCTTCGAGAGCAGAAAGTGTTCTCATCTCCAGGACCCAGACTCTCGCTATCCTTTGAACACTGCACTGTAATAGCTCAGCCAGGACCTTCAGGGTATTCGGATTTTGTTCTTGTATTATTTAGTGTGTGTGAGTTGGGATGGGGGTGTGTGTAGGAGGTGAGAGGAGAACCTGTAGGAGCCAGCTCTCTACTTCCACTATGTGGCGTTCCAGAGCTCCGGGGACTGAACTCAGACCATGGAACTCTGGTGGTGGAAGCACCTTTACTCTCTATCTCGCTGGCTGGGCATTTTCTAAGTAACGAGAGGACGATTTAAAGGACAAAGGAGGACCTGTGTAGGTTCTATGTAAATAGCATAGCATTTTATTCAAAAGACTTGAACATTTGCAGAGCTGAAAGACCCTGATTATAGAAATTCCTATACTCGCCCCCATATCCTGGGAGGTCACCATGGCAACACTCAACTGACTGATGAACTGAGCTTTCAAGGGGCACACTTCCTGCAGGATACCCTTGACATGGGCAGGCACTGAGCAGACCACACAGACCAATCTACTCCTTCCTCCTCAGGGCTGTCCCAGGACCTACCTCAGGCAGGGGCAGACCTAGCAGCCGGGCCCCGGAGAGGTCCAGGTCACTGATGGTGGTCACGGTGACTGTGTGGTTGGGGTGGTCGTACTGCACTGACTCTGTCTTTGCTGTCACTAGCCGCTCCAGCTCATCTGCCTCCTCTGCAAGATGGACACAACCAGTCTTCAGCCCTGGCTCAGCCACCACACCTCTGCAGCCTCCCTCTGAGCCCCAGAGGGATGAGGACTGGCGTGCAGTGTGCCTTTCTAGAGCCCTCCCCACCCTCTGTTCCTGCACCTCCAGAGTGGTCCAGATTTCCACCCACAGGCAAGTGTTGGAAATGACCCTCTCTTCCCTTTGTGCTCCAGCTGTCCTTGCCCTGGAGAAACTGAGTGACAGCAAGAGCTGTTCCATCTCCAGGCTCTCTGTTCAGCCTCAATTTACCATGTGGTCTGGGTCTCCTGGTCTCTGATCCACATGCACGTAGACCCCCTCCCCCTTGGCCCCTATGTCACCACCAAGATCTCTATGGCTAAGAAAATCACCCTCTATCCAGCTTTCTCCCCATTCTTCCTTATCCCCACCCGGGGACACACAAGCCCAGGCTCACTAGATGCTATCCACAGAAGACCTTGGTGGGGGCTTACCTAGTGCCTCCTCTCTTTCTGCCAGCATCTTCAGGTATTCCTGGTGGCGCTGAAGTCAGACAGGAGGATGTGATGGTGTTAACTGTTAAGCTGACAGAATCTAGGAAGGCCCGGGGGATGGGCCTCTGAGCATACCTATGGGATATTATCTTGAGGTGGGAAGACCTGCACCCTGTGGGTGGTGCTAGTCCCTGGCTGAGAAAGAGCTGAACAGCAGCACGTGATCATCACTCTGCTTCCTGAGTGGGGATGTGACGGGACCAGCCAGCTCAAGCTCCTGTCACCTGACCCTAGAGCCAGAACAAGCCCTATCTCCCATAAGCTGCTTCTGTCAAGAGTATCTCATGACAGCCACAGAAAAAGACACTAAAACAGAAATGAACACAGTGAGAATGGCCTTTCAGCCCATCGGGGCAACAGCCCTGCTCACTTCCACAGTGTGAGACCACAGTTCATGGGGTAAGCTCAAAAGGAGACTTGCCCTTCACACACACACACACACACACACACACACACACACACACACACACACCAGGGTCTCTACTCCTGTGACAGCTCCAGCTACGCTCACACGCTCTCTGTTCTGCTGCCCCTCCCCTGGTAGATGGGTCCCCACCCCTTCAACTCTCCATCCTCCTCTGTACTGCACCTCTTCCCGGAGCTTCTTCTGCTCTTGCTTCAGCCTCTGCTTTATCTCCTCAATGGCCGCCTTCTTCCGCTCCACCTTCCGCTTGTGGAAGCCTGTCAGGTACTCCCTGCAGGAAGGAAGCAGGGGAGTGCGCAGAGTCGGGAGGAGACACGAGGAAAGAAGGGCTCTAGACAAACCCTCCAGTGACATAGAGCCAGGCTCTAACTTACCCACTAACACCTCTACCCTCTCAACAGCCTGTCCTTATTTTACAGATAAGGACACTGAGGGGAGACAAGGGTACTTATCCAGTGTCACAGAGAACGCAGTATGGATCATTCAATGACAAGGGTACCTTGAGAGAAATGAGTTGCTAGTCCTGACTGGATCATCACAGAGTACTTTTGTAATCCTAGGTGGTGTAACCTACCACACACCTTTGCTGGAAGTCTTACTACACTCTATCACTGAGCACGTCACCACACAATGTGTGACAGAGAATGCTGCCTTTTCCTAGGCTTCTTTCTCCTGGGTACCTACTTCACCTGTGTTTCTTTTTTTTTTTTTTTTAATATTTTATTTATTTATTATGTGTACAATATTCTGTATGTGTGTATGTCTGCAGGCCAGAAGAGGGCACCAGACCTCATTACAGATGGTTGTGAGCCACCATGTGGTTGCTGGGAATTGAACTCAGGACCTTTGGAAGAGCAGGCAATGGTCTTAACCTCTGAGCCATCTCTCCAGCCCCCTTCACCTGTGTTTCTTGCTCCTTGGTGGGTACACACAATGCCAGTTAGTCGAGACGAGACACAGAGCAGGTGAAAGCTGCGTCCACACCGGTAGGAGTCGTCTCTAGTGGGGCTTTCCAAGAACGCCTTCACCCAGACCCCAAAACTCTTTCATTGAACCAACACCCAGTCCTCAACGACATCTGAGCCCTGAATCCACCAGTGGGGTGGGGCCTAGGGGTGCCCCCCACCTTCCCGACTCTTGCTTCCTCCTATCTGGTATCTGCTGTTCCTGATTTTGTGGTTGTACTGGAGAGTTAAACCTAAACTAATTACTTTATATTGATTTGGGGACAGGGACAGGGACTCTACATATCGCCCAAACGCCCAGACTGGTCTTGAACTCTCTCTGTAGCCCTTGACTTTGCAATTCTCCTGCCTCAGCATTCCGGGTGGCTTGGATTATAGGTCTTCACAACCAGGCCTGGCAACTGAGGTTTCGTTTGGTGCTCTGCACTAGGGTTTTCGCAGACCCACTACAACGTGCCATTTATCCGCGATGACACCGAAGCACAGAAGTTCAGCCTCCGGGACCCAAGCTTGGTTGGAACACAGTACGATGAGAGAATGAACATAGACCTCTCTCATCCTATTCTCTCGTCGTTCGTCTACGGCAGCCGGCTGTGTGCCGCGACCATGGACCGGGCTGGACTCGAGAAGTCCAGGGCACTGCTCTGCGCAGACTGAGACCTGCGGGGGTAGAGCGGGAGTCTGCATCCCGCTACGTGGGGAAAGCGGACCGAGGTCTTCAGGCACGTCCAGGGGCGGAGCCGGAAGAGCTCTCTGCGTGAACGTGCGCACCCTGGGCTTGGCTAGGCCTCTCCCGGCAGCCCGACGGGAATTGGGTTCGACCCGACCACTCACCGCCGCTTCTCTTCATCAAAGCTGAGGACGAGCCGGGGCCGCCGGTCATCTCCATCTCGCTTCTTTTTCTTGTTGCGGCCCATTACAGCGAAGCTTCCGGCAGCGTGGCTGCTGCTAGCCTAAAACACTTCCGTGTGTAGCAGTTTCAGATTTCCGGAGAGCGCGCTTAGTGGCCTTGTTCTACAGTTCCGTTCCGCCGATTTGTCTCCGCCTTTTAAGGGAGCCTCCCATCCTGTCTCTCACAGTTTTGATTCAGGTCTGAGCAATTTTCCCAAAATGGCTTCAGTGAGAACTAGGCTCCCCGATTCCATCACCTAGCCTGGCCCTAACAGGCGCTTAATATGGAGTTATTCATGAATGGCTAAAATCTACTGATCTTAGATGGTCGGCGGCGGTGGTGTACACTTTTAATCCCAGCACTCGGGAGGCAGAGGCAGGCGGATCTCTAAGTTAGAGGGCAGCCTGGTCAACAGAGCAAGTTCCAGAATGGCCAAGGTTACACAGAAAAAACCTGTCTCAAAAAAACAAAAGGGGGGGACGACTGATCCTAATTGAGTTCTGATGTCAATTCTTTAGTGATTTCCATAAGGAAACTACGTGGATTCGAACACTGGTACTCATCTACCAGCTGTGTGGCCCTAGAGCAATTGCCTTTTTGCTTTTAAAAGATTAAAATAGCCGGGCAGTGGTGGCACACACCTTTGATCCCAGCACTTGGCAGGCAGAGGCAGAGTTCAAAGCCAGCCTTGTCTACATAGTATGTTCTTGGATAGCCAGAGCAGAACTACATAATAGAGAGAGAGACCCTGCCTCAAAAACAAATACAAACAGACAGAATATTGTATGCATAATAAATAAAAATATTTAAAAAACAAACAAATAAATAAGATTTTTAAAAAAGAAGGAAAATTACCTGCCTGAGTGAGTTTATGTGTACTACAGGAGTGGAGTGCCTGCAAGCCCGGAAGAAGGCATCAGACCCCCTGCCACTAGAGTCACTCACAGATGTTGTGAGTCATCACATGGGTGCTGGGAATCAAGTCCAGGTCCTCTGCAAGAGAATAGCTGCTAAGCCCTGAGCCATCTCTCCAGAGTCATCTCCCCATCGTCTTCTTCTTTGTGCCCCATTGACCCATCTATAAAGTACAGATAATTGTAGTGACTTTGTGGCATTATTGCAAAGAAGGGGTTCTAGAACTTGGGCATGCACTAGATGTCCTAGAAGACTTGATGAAATCCAGATCCAGGGTTTGTGGGTCAGCACATGTGGACAGAATATCCGTTTCTAGCACTTTCTCGGATGGCCCGAACACTGCTCCTGCTCGCAACAAACTTTGAGAGCCACGGCAGTAGTGGCACAAGTGAGCTGTGTCAGGAGTATGCAACACAGTGCTCTGCCATGCTCAGGTTTGCTGCACAAACCACATCCAGCTATGTGCCTCAGTTTCCCCAACTATGGAAAGGGAGTTTACCAACAAACCTTCTACTATCTATCACACACGTTTGAATGTGGGGCACTGGGTAAAATAACAGCAGACAGGGCTCTTAGTGACTCTGTTGTGCAGTTGACTTCCCCCATTCTCAAGACTATGTGCATTTGGTCCTGTGCCGGGTGCTGAAGACACGGCTGATGCTCTTGACTCTGTAAGGCCTGTGGCCAAGTAGGTGATCGTGAGTGTACCAGGGAGGAGGCCTCTGTAGCAAGAAGCTGAGGAGGCTACAGGAGGTCAGGATTGCCTCCAGCAACGTGGAGGGCAGGGAGGAGCCCAGAGCAGGTGATGATATACAGGGTAACAGGCAAAAAACAGATTCTTAGGATCCAGTCCTCTTCCAGATGGAAGCCCAGAGAGCCAGTAAGCCACACATATTGAAAGCCTCCTGAATGCCAAGCACTCAGAGAGGCAAGATGTCACTTAAGAAAGGACTGTGCTTGCCGGGTATTGGTGGCACACACATTTTATCCCAGCACTCAGGAGGCAGAGGCAGGTGGAGCTCTGTGAGTTCTAGATCAGCCTGGTCTGCAGACTGAGTTCTAGGATAGCCAGGGTGAGCCAGACAGCCTGTCTTTGGTCTCCCTTCCCAGCTCCCTGGCCACTCCCACAGAAGCTGATTTGTCTGCATTTTGGAAGGCAGGATGCAGACTGTGAGGGTGGTTTTCAGAAGGAGCCTCACCTACAGTAGGCATGACACCCCATAGATGTCGGGTTCCTCCCACAAGGGTCCTCTATTTGGAGACTCCATGTTGGATGCTGAGAAGTTATCTTCAAAGTGGGGGTCCCCAAACTGGGCTGTAGTTCTGGGAAGTGGAGACGGGAGGATCGGGAGTTCAAGGTCATTCTCTGAAACATAGAAAATTGAAGTCCAGCCTGGGCTACTTGAGACCTCATCGAAAGAACAAGGTTTCAGGGTGCTAGACAGACATGCTTCTGAGTGGTCACTTCTGCTCCCTGAGGGTCAAGCCCTCCTGCGACCCTTGGCATCTCCCCTCTGGAAAGAGGCATCGGCCGGCCACACTGTACCTCATGGAGAAGTCTTGAACTGCTTTCTGCTGCAGGGCTCCCACCTACTGCTCCCTCCTCTCCTGTGGCTGCTGACTAAACAGACGTTCTGTGGCCTGACTTGATAAGTCCGCTTCTCCTGCGAGCCCCTTCTCAGACTCCTCCCTCTGACTCCTCCTGGTCTGTATCATTCACTTGATGCCTTCTGGGTGGAGGCTGTGGCCTCTGCTGCTCCTTTCTTTCTTTCTTTCTTTCTTTCTTTCTTTCTTTCTTTCTTTCTTCTTTCTCTCTCTTTCTTTCTTTCTTTCTTTCTTTCTTTCTTTCTTTCTTTCTTTCTTTCTTTCTTTCTTTCTTTCTGTATACAACATTCTGCCTGCATATGTGCCCGCACGCCAGAAGAGGACACCAGATATCATTACAGATGGTTGTGAGCCACCATATGGTTGCTGGGAATTGAACTCAGGACTTCTGGAAGAGCAGTCAGTGCTCTTAACCGCTGAGCCATCTCTCTAGCCCAACAGGGTCTCTCTTTATACCCATGTCTGTCCTGGAACTCCCTATATAGACCAGGCTGGCCTCGAACTCACAGAGCTCTAGCTGCTGAGTGAGGATTAAAGGTGTGTACCATTTAGCTGGTAGTCTGTGCACTTTTATTATTGCTATTACTTGTAATTTATTGTACTTATGTGGGTGTTTTGCCTGAGGAGATCAAATGAGAGTGTTGGGTCCTCTGTAACTGGAGTTACAGATAGTTGTAGATGGTTGTTAGCTGCCATGTAGGTGTTGGGGATTGACCCCTGGTTCTCTTAAGTGATCTTAATCACTAAACCATCTCTCCAGCTGCAGCCCTGTGGCGATCCTTACGGGCCTTCCCATCAGGCTAGTGCGGTTCTTATCCTTGCTGTACAGATGATAAGGCTTAAAGAGGAAAAGTGGCTGGATCGAAGCCACTCAGTAGGTGGTGGGGCCAGAGCCCTGTGCACAGTGCGGCCCCACCCTCCCACTATTCTTGTGTGTTCCAGAGCGGGGAATGAGATGGCTGCTGGCTGGGGACCTCAGGAGAGAGCCCTGCAAGATTGCCCCTCCCTCAGTTCAGCTGTGGGCACTGCAGGGCCTGCGGAGGCCATGGCAATTCCATGATAGCTTCCCAGGGAGGGTGAAATATGCTTCCCTGTGTTGGCTCTGCAGTCCCGCACTCCACTCGTACTGGCGAGATTTCTGCCTGCAATTCTCTTTGCATTTACTGAGTATCTAATGAGTGCCAGAGGCAGCCGGGGATGCCACATGGACGGGAGGAAGACAAGAGCAACGACTGTTTATTCAGCTATTTTTACATGATGTCTGGAGGGCTGACCCCCATTCCACCGAGAAGACAGGCTCAGTCAGCTGCAGCCTGAGGCTACACAGCTGAGAGCTGGTCCAGCAGTCAGGAGGCTAAGGCAGGAGGCTCAGATGTTCAAGATCATCCTTGGCTTCTTAGGGAGCTTGAGGCCTGCTGGGCAGAGGGGTGGGTGTGTGCTGAGGTAGCTGAATTTCTCTAGACTGGTTTGCTAGGCTCCTGGGAGACACTGAGCCTTTAAAGGGAACCAGCATTTTCAGAGCCCCTGCCAGGTGCCAGGCATCACACATCTCTGTACGTCACCTCGGGGAACCTCAGTGACCACACAGAATATGAGCCACTGTTAACTCGATTTACCAGAAAAGGAAGCTGAGCCACAGCGATGCTGTGTAACGGGTTCAAGAACACACAGCGGTGGAGCTGGTGTTTGAACTCGGGTCTGTCTGATTTTATGCCCAGTGGTCTCTCTCTGCTCTGTAGTCATCTTTCCCACAAGGTTAGTGCTCAGCGCCCATGGGGAGACTCCCGTGGTGAATTGTGAAGACGGGAAGACAGTCTAAGGAACATTTTCTTCGGAGCCCAGCAGAGGGCGCCTCTTCCACAACCACACTTCAAAGCTTTCTCTCTAGGGGCCACTTAGGAGCCTCAGAGCAGTAGGGGAGCCCAAGGCATGTGCATTCCATTCTCTTTGAACTTTTCCTTTGGGTGACCTCCCCCTTCCTAAATCCCAGGGGACCCATCGACATGAGAACATCCTGCTATGGATGGGGAAACTGAGGCTGGAAGATGCAAGAAACCCTGCCAGGTGGGTGCCAGATGTCCTAGAGAGTAAGATCTGCTGCTCTCGCGTGTGCCTGCCCCAGCTGCAGGGCGTTATACCCAGGATTTGAGAGTTTCAGAGAGCCTAATTGGGTTCACATTTGAAGCCTTCCGGAACCTTGGCTCAGTTCCTTCAGCTGTTTCCTGAGTGAGTGAGTGTGTGTATGTGTGGTGGAGGTGGACAATGGTGGCCCGCAGATCTACTGCAGTTACCTGTGCTGGTGTGTCAGGGCTCAGCTAAGAGCAGGGCATCCCAAGGAAGCAGAACCTAGGCCAGTGCTGGGAAGACACCTGCCTCTGGAAGCCAAGAGGAGACCACAGTGGCAGGCCCGCCTATCAGTGAGCTATCTGCCCTCAGGAAGACCTGCTTGTGGGTCTTCCAGGCAGCCTCCCAATCCCAGTCTCTGAAGGGGCCAACCCAGAACCTCCAATCACATTAAGGGGCTGACTCTAGCCAGCCTAGGTTCCCA